AAACATATGCTCAAAATAAAAAAATTTAAAATTCACTTAACACTACTTTAGATTATTCATTTCATCCATCCGTCCATTTTCTGCCGCTTACCCAGGGTCGGGTTGTGGGGGCAGCAGCTTCAGAAGGGAGGCCCAGACTTCCCTCTCCAGCCTCTTCCAGCTCCTCCAGGAACCCCAACCCCTGGGTTTCCCCTCCTCCCGGTGGGACATGAACTCCTCACCAGGGAGGCGTCCAGGAGGCATCCTGACCAGATGGCCGAGCCTCAACTGGCTCCTCTCGACGTGGAGGAGCAGCGGCTCTACTCTCAGTCCCTCCTGGATGACCGAGCTTCTCTCTCTAAGGGAGAGCCCAGCCACCCTGCGGAGGAAACCCATTTCGGCCGCTTGTATCCGTGATCTCGTTCTTTAGGTCATGACCCAAAGCTCATGGCCATAGATGAGGGTGGGAACGAAGATCGACTGGAAAATCGAGAGCTTCGCTTCTTGACTCGGCTCTCTCTTCACCACGACGGATCGGTACGGCGCCCGCTTCACGGCAGACGCTGCACCAACCCGCCTGTCGATCTCCTGCTCCCCTCTTCCCTCATTCGTGAACAAGATCCCCAGATACTTAAACTCCTCCACCGGTGTCAAGTACTGCAAGACTGAACTGAACCGTGTATGAACAAGTTCATTCAGGTTGCAAATGATCGACTGTTGGTCTGAGACGCATCAATTTGTTCAGATTTATGATTAACCAGCCAGAGGACGAATGAAACCATTCAACGTTTCCCTTTGCAAAATATTATTTCACCTCAGCAGGTGTGACTGAAGCTTTCTTATTAAAACAGGACAACTCAGTGAAGAAGAAATACAACCAATTAAAATAAAAGGTGTGAAAGACAGAACTTTAAGACCTCCAGGAAGCCTGAGATTATTGATCCGGAGGAGTTTGGAAAGGAAACGTATGAGGGATAGATGGAGGAATGTCCATTCTGCCTTTAAAAGCATTTTTATTTAAAGTTTAGTGGAAAGAATGTTTCTAAAACAGAAATTATTATTTTTGTTATATTTATGTTGGATTGTTTGTGAGAGAGCAAAATAAATGAAAAAATATTCTTATTTTTGTTGTAAGTAACATTTTGGACTCTTTACTTACGGAGTTTGACAAGAAAGGACACCAGTACCCACAATGCAATGAGGTAGGGGGTCTCCACATGGTGCCATTTAAAGGTGACGATGGAGATCCCGGTGGCATTGTGTCCGCCGTCGTGTTCATGATGGGATTCCTGCGGCGCCACAGACGAGATGCAGCAGAGCAGCAGAACCAGGATCATCATCGGGACAAATCAGAACCGCAGGAGCCACTCTCTGATCCTTCTATCTGCCGTTCATCACTGCTCTGACTCCATCCTCATTCCTGAAGCGTCGCTGGCTCAGGAGCGCAGCTTTTTGTAGCAGCGGTGGGAGTGACAGACTGCTCTGGTTACTCAGTCACGCCTCGCCCCTTTGCTCTGTTTGTTCTTTCCGGTCCCAAACAGATCTTTCAGTTTTACAGAGACAGAGTTTTGTATGATGGAGCAGAGGTCAGAGGTCACTGGTTTGGAGCTGGAATGACGTCCGTTCAGGAGGTTTTCACATCGTCTTTGCGCCTCACTAATGATTGACCTTCATGTTTCTCAGTTTTGGTTAAAGACTCCGGATGTGAGTGAAATAATTGAGCCGTCTTCACAGGCTTCCAGAACAAACCGCAGATATTTCCATTTTAATTCATTCTGCTGTTCTACATTCAGATTTTTATTAAATAAACCAAAACTATTTAAGTTTTAACTTCAGTATTTTTGGTCTAGTTTCTAGTACAAATGCCTTTACATTTAGAATAATACAAAACTCACTTATAAATACATTTACAGGAAGAAATAGATTTTTTTAAAGCAAATATTCCTTAATATTGATTTTAAAAAGTACTAGTTGCATCAGCAGATTATTTTTGTTTTAGCGAAACATTTTCCCATGTTTATAAGTGAAATAATCTGGCTGTGAACTGATACTTGTTCATTTAAAAGTACCAGTGATTGACTGGGTTTGTTGCGGTACCAGCTGGCTGACCCGGTTTGTTCTTTTTGGACCAACAGAGCCGTTCTGTTGGAGCAGAACAAAGAGCAGCGCTCTCACCAGACAGACAGGATTTGTTCTCACGCTGGAGGGAAGAACTCCTCAGAAGGAGAACAACCTTTGAGTCGACGCACCTGGTGTCATCTGGAGTCGGTAGTTCTGTTGGACCCGACTCAAATCAACACAGGTTTGGACCATCAGTTAAAATCATAAATCAATATTAAACAGTACAGTTGAAACAGAAATCACTCAAATTCTTGAGATATAGCTAGAAACTTAAAAAGAACCATGGACGGATGGACGGACGATCCAACCAGGTCAGTTTTCATTCTTTGACCTAATTAAATCATATATATTTTTCCCAGAAGATAGAAAAGTTGTAAATCTGAACATTTTGTGATGCAGGTAACATATTAACTACTCATAACTAATTGACAGAACCCCATAAAAATCCTGAGTGATTTATCTGACCACACGCTGCATCCAGGTGGTTCCTCTTAACGTCTTAATGTTTAAAGCCAATTTAGCTCATTATTCTCTTTATAGGAAAATATAAAACATCATGTAGAGGCGGAACGGCAGGGACAAAAATAAACACGGCGGGTTAACCAGTAACTCCTGACTGGAAGGCCTGAATCCCAGAATAAAGTGACTGGAAGACCGAGGAAGGGGACGCGTAAAGTTAACGAGTCGGACTCGTAAATGTTTGAACACGTAGAAATTCAGTTTATAGATCCGTCTGTGGAAAATAACCGAACACTGAAGAAAAACCAAAACATAAAAACCACGATGGAATCAGGTTTCCACACTGCAAAAACACAAAATCTGGTTTCCAGTGCAGATCTCTTAAAATAAGACGAAAGTCACTTTTCAGCAGGATATATGAGCTTGTTCTGAATCAATAATTGCTTAATACCAATAAAAAAGTTCTGCACTTGCTGATTATTCCAGTTATTACATGGAAAAATGTCTTGTTATAATTATAACTAGAACTTTTTAAACAATATTAAGGAATAATTTACTTTAAACAAGCTCCTGTTTCTTGTTGAAAAGTACTTGTCAGTTTTTGCCTTGTTTTAAGAGTCCTATTTCACTAGAAATTAAACCAAAAATGACTTGCTAGGATTTTGTGTTTTTGCAGTGCAGAGCTCTGACTCTTCCTTTCAGCCCAGGCTGGTATTAAACTTTGTTCATACAGTAAAAACCAGTCAATAAAATGATATCTATGTGTAAATAAGTCGTCCCTGCAGCTGATCAGAGTACAGTAGCACTCAGAGTTCCTCTGTTTCACCTCTGTGGCGGTTATGCAATGATTGAAAGCCTAGTTAAAGGCCGGCCACTGTCCTGCAACTTATTAGTTAATAAAACGTTGAAGGCGTTCATGCTCAGCAGCGCGGATCGCACCCGTATTATTTACAGCATTTAAATCACATGAAACCAACACATGAGGCGTCATGCAGCGGGCCTGGAGGAGCGGCTTCATCACCCGCCGTCACAGGCTGGCACCTCTGACGCATAACGAGCAGTCAGTATGCTACCTGCATGAGAGACACCTCCAGTTCAGAAAAACAGAAGCTACAGAGCCAGTTTCCACTCAGAGGGGAGTTTAAATGAGATCACAGTCCTAACAGTCATGTTTCCAGATGACTGAGGAACCTGGAGTACCCTGGAAGAAGCCACACATCCACTGGGAGACACACACACTATGCAAGGCAACTACTCCACTAATTAACAAAAAATAAATAAATAAATTACGCATTTTCTATTTTAATTTCGGCAGTGTTTTTTTCATCTTAAGGGCAAAATGCCAATAATTCATATTGGCGTCGGTCTGGGTTCGGTTGAAGTGAACTCTGGTTTGGTTTGAATGTGAACGCCAAGCGGACCAAAGACTGCTCCAAAAGCAGGAAGTGGACTACAGTGCAGGGCATTCTGGGTAAATACAATGAAAGCTAACATGTTAGCCTAGCGCTAGCAGCAGAAATGGCTCCTGGTCTTTAGCCAAAGACTACAGAGAAATCCTCCAACCGCTAAAATCTGACGCCTCCATCTTGTTTCCATCAGAGGTTTTTGTGTCGTTTCCTTCAGTGGTTCTTGGTGCAGCGCCCCCACAGGCCAGGAGGGGAACAGGCTGGTTTGACTCAGAGCCACTGCAGCTGGAGGTGGAGCAGATGATGGAGTTCTGGTTCCAGTAGAACCGGGTCAACTGGACCGTCGGGAGGAAAACGCTTCCAGCAGTTTTGTTCTGATGTAAATGTGAATCCCAGAACAATCAGATACAAATGGCACAAATTTAACTTTAGGTGGAGGTTTTTTGCAGAACCCGTCTTAGAACCTCCAGGTCCGGTTAGATGAGTGGAGAGCAACTCCAGGCCTCCTGCAACCTTCACATGTGTCCCTGCTTCAACAACCTGAGTCAAATAATGAGGTCGTTAGCAGGACTGTGGAGCAGCTGACTGCACTGAGGAGGAGATTCAACAATTTGATTGCAGCGTGTTGAACCTGAGAGACATCTAAGAGCTGCAGGACCTGGATTGTCCACCTGGGTTAGATGGACCTGATTCTCCCACTGGGACGTGGACGACGTGTCGGCGCTCGGTCCCGCTGTGCATCGCTCCGACCTGACCCATATTTATGTCGGCCCTGGCGAACACTGCGACACACGCTCAGTCATTTACATTGTCCACAGAAATGTGACCCTTTACGCCTGTTGTGTATACAAGGAGTCACTAATGGCCATGTTTTGGGGTCAGACCTGGAGAACACAGGAGGTCCACCTGCAGAGGTCAGGCAGGATGTTTGACCTCTTGTTCCTGTGCTGCAGACACGTTCTGACTGTTTTTACAAGAACGTCCCTGGTTTTGTTTTAACCTGCCGCTGATCTAACAGGCATTCAGGCATGAAAAAGGTCCAAAACTCAAGTTGTGTCAACACACAGCAGAGAAGTTGGCAAAGAAACAATTTCAGCGTTTTATCACCAGCAGACTGTCAGAAAGAAACACCTTGTGTTTCTCTACCTGAACAAGACACCAAACAGAAACAGCAACCAGACTGAAAATCATCGATAAAAAGCCCAGAGTCCTGAGAACAACTTTAAAATATTCCTGAAGGTCTGGATCTCAGGAAGTGGAACGGTTGGAAGTCTTTACGTGCTCCGTATCCGCTGCTGAGACGTTTACAGGAACAGTGAAGGACAAGTTGGCACTAAAGGATTTCTGGAAATGCCACAGAGCTGCAGCCTGAGAGGGAAACTCTTCATGTTTCAAACTGAACCAGCTTCCTGCATGTTCTTATTTATAAACCCTGGAAAAACGACTCGGCTGGAAAAGATCCGTTACGCTAAAGCGCTGATTATAAATGTTATTTATGCCAAGCCTCAAGGACTAATTGTAAATGTTCCTGGGTTTACTGCTTCTACGTTTATTTCCTCCGTCTACAAGGTGATATTTAATGTTTAAATATGATATTTAATGTTTAAAGTTCGGCATTTTCACATTTATCACTAAATAAAAGCTCCTTTATTTCTCACTTTCAACAAAAAAACTACTTAAAGAATAATTTTGACCTTTGACACTCAAGCTGTTTATATGTTTTAGCTTGTTGCAGGAATTAAGTAAAATTAATAAATGCATGTCAAACTTTAAAAGATGCTCTGAACACTTTGAAAGTTTAAATAGGATCATGAATAGCATTTAAAAAACAAATGAACTAAATAAGAAGTTGTTTTGGTTTCTGTCTGGAAAATGTTGATGATTGTCAGTAGTGGAATTTAATTAAAATTTCTGCACCAAAAAATACATTTTCTGTTCATGGAGAATATTTTAATTCACTTCAGTTCTGCTCAGTCCAGTTTTTTGAAGCTCTTCTGTTTTTTTGATCTGTAGAAAGTTTTACATATTTGCATCCGATGGAGAAACTTTTACTTATTTCTGACATTCTTTGCTCATAATGTAGAAAGTTTTACTCTTTGTCTTTCGTACCTGATGTAGAAAGTTTTATGTATTTGTGGTATTTTGTTTCTCTGGACTCACCCAGTTTGCAGAGCCAGGACACCAGGACCCAAAGCGCCACCAGGTACGGCACTTCCACATGGTGCCATTTCCACGTTACGATGGGCAGAGTGGTGATGGCGGCCGTCTCGTGCCCTGTCCCAGTGGTCTCGTTCCCGGTGCTGGAGGACACCGGGGTTTCGCTGTTGGCCAGGCTGGAGGCCGCCATCAGCAGGCAGAGGAGCAGCGCCGACCTCCAACGCTCCGCCATGTTTGCTGGAAAACGTCTGCTTCCTTTCAGCCGCTCAGATCCGCACTCTCATTCCTCCTGACCTTTGACTTCTCTGCGAACATCCAGACTCTGTTTCTCAGAGAGTATGGTGTCCCGCTGTCTGGCGTCCTGCTGGTGGGGATCAGGTTTTCTACCACAGCTGAAGCTCAGCCCATCCTGATGCTCCACCTTCTCCACCCACGTCTCACCTGGACCGGCTTGTTTGGCCACTTTCCTCGGAGAATCCACTGATGCTTTTGTTTCTTTATAAGCTGAGAATCGGGTTAAATTGCTTTGGGTTGTTTATTACGGCTTATTTCTATTTCATTGTGACTTTTTGTCTAATTTATTTAGTTTTAGTTCATTTTTACAGTGTGTGCTACACTCTAAAAAGAAAAAAGTTGAACCAACTTAATTGAATTGCTTCTGTAGGTAACAAGCAATTCAATTAAGTTTATCCAACTAAATTTATTAAGTTTAACCAATTCAATATATTATAATCACACAAATCAATTTGTTAAGTCAGTCTTACTCAAATCATTTAGTTTACTTCAAAAATGGTAAATAAACTTAAATAACACTTTTGACCACTGACAGCACATATTAACACATTTATTTAATGCTCAGATTGGTTGGCAACTTGGGATTAAGTACCCAGGGGACACATTAACATATGGCAGGAGGAAGCTGGAATCGAACTGACAACCTTCCGATTACAAGGCGACTGCTCTATCCACAGAGCCACGGTCGCTTACTGGGAATGTGTCCCTGTAAGCTTGAGTCATTGTGTCAGACATGGGACACAAACTGAGTTATTTCAAGTAAAGTCAAAGTGAAAAATGTTATTTAAGGAAAAGATTTGTGTATTTAGATGACACTGTAAAAAGAGTATTAAAATTTAGTTTGGAACTACTTAAAAGTTTGAGTTGACTTTCTGTAGAATTAAGTCAAAGAGATTTTAAATGTTCATAAGAACAAAATAAATGATTTGAGTAAGAGTGACTTAAATTTGTCATGTTAAAGCCCCTTATGAATTAAGTTATAAAAACTTAGCAAATTGAGTTGGATGATCATAATAAATTGAGTTGGTCAGACATAGGATACAAAACTGGCGTTGAACTCAATTGTTTTAAGTAAAGTCAAAGTGAAAAGTTCCTTCAGGTTAAAGATTTGTAAGTTTTTAGTTGAATGAACACAAAAAAAGTAAGTTGTCATAGCAAAAGCAAAATAATTAAGTGAAATTAATGTAAATAAGTCCATAAGATGAACTACAGCCCAAAAACACTTTTTAGAGTGTAGTTCTCATTAGTTAAGTGTTAACTAATAATAACCAGGACTTGATATCTTTATCAGCTATAGTTGTCTTATTTCTTTGGCTTTTTTAATTTCGCACAATTCAAAAATGTTGAATTCTGCAGGTAACTTTGATCATGTTTACCATTTTAAGACATTTATTTAACTGTTGAACGACCAGCTGACTGGCCTTTTCTCCCAACTTCTGCTGCTGCACTTTTGTGGACTAAATGTTTGAAGCGCCGTCATTTTCAGTCAGCTGATGTAAACAAACGTCACATAAGCTTCAAAGGCTGACAAACAGATTCATTAACAAAAACACAGGAAGTCATCTGTAATGTCAGTCTGTCTTAGTTCAACTAATGGATGGTTTGGTTCCAGTCAGTCATAGTTTTCCCTGTTAATTATCGTATTTTTCATTTCAGTTAACCAAAATGTTTTCTCAGTTTCAGTTTTAGTAAATCTGTTACTTTTATTTGACTGTAATAACTTTGCAGAGTAAGAAGCTGATGTTGGACCTCAGTTACAGATCAGATGAGTTTTGCTTCAGTTTGTGAAAGATAAAAAAGTTTTAAACATGATTCCAGGTTTCCATCATCAGTATTTCAAAACATATTCTAAGTTAATGTAAAAATAATCAGTCATGATCACAATCTCACTAAATGCTGCTTTTCTTAAGAAAATATGATCGTTTTTGATTAAATCCAATTTATTCTCAACATTTCATCGCCTCTAATTGCAGCAGATTATTTATTAAAATGATCTTTTTATAGTTAGTTTTTATTTACATAATTATTTCTGCAGTAGAGCAGAAATATTTCATATTTAAATGAAAAATTAGTTGCAAACTTATGCTGAAACTTTAACAGAGAAAAAGTTTAGATCAGAACCAGATCTGATTATTTTCTCCAGTAACTTAAAACACTTTTAACATGAACAGATTATCATGTTTAAGATGTTCAAAGGAACTTCGAGATGCAAAGCCGCGTGGCAGGAAGACCAGCACTGCAGAGTGGTGGCAGCATGATGCTGTGGGAGCAGGGAAGCTGCTGCTGCTTTCTGTTGGTCCGTCTCATTAAATCCCAATAAAACACGTTGACCTTTGAGCCTGATGGCGTTCAAGATCTTAAAGGGCATGAATAATTAGTTTCTGTGTGAGAACTCTGGCAGAATGGAGGTTCTGGACGACCCAAACGGGTCAAAGCACAAACTGGAAAAGATCTGACAAAAACAGGAGAAAACTGGGCGGCTGTCAGAGCCGAAGACGGACATGAGGGAGATTCTTCAGACGCTTGTTTTGCTTTGTGCTGACCTTTGACCTGTGTAGACCTCAGCCTGGGTCAAAGCAGAACATGATTCTTCGTTGTTTGGCTGATTACTGATTGGTAAAGATGATTGAAGAGCCGTAAAGAGTAACAAGTTTTTCTTCTACCTGAATGATGATGTTCCACTCTTGAGTACAATTTCTGATTACTCTGAGCTCCTGTAACTTATTCAATGACCAAAGGACACACTTCAAACAGAAATGCACCAGAAACAGACATATAATTTATGTCAGAGTGAGACCTCTCGTTCATACTCCAGCTCTGGCCCAATGTTATCCGCCTTTTTTATTACTATTTCAGTTAAACATATTAATTAAGCTGTGATGGTGTTTTAGAGCCACTGTAGACAGAAAAAAGAGTAAATCTTCATCAAAAAACCTACAAAAATTTCTAGAAACATTTGGAAATTTCTGAGTTTGAAAATTTGTCAAGAAAAAAAAAAGATTTTCAGATCAATTTCAGAAATTTTCTAGAAAAAATTAGGAAATTTCAGATTGAAAAGTTGAACATTTCATAGAAAAACTCAAATTATGAGTTTTATTTCAGAAACTTTTGAGAAAAAACATGGACATTTCTGTGTGAAAAATTTAACATTTTCAACTTTTGAAACTTTTTTTCCAGGACAAATATACGGCTGTTGGCCTTAAAGCATTGCTACTTGTATTTTACTTTTTAGTTAATAATCTATGATTTCCTGCTTTCTGTTAAATTAAGTATTCACTATTTTCCTCACAATAAAAAAGTTAAATTTTTCTTTTCAGGCTTCGTTTTTCCCAGTTTGCCAACAAATATGGCGGCCGTCATCTTTCTGTCGTGTTTCACATGCAGGTGCTAGAACCGAACTTGGCACAGATAACTGTTGAAGCTCACAATTAAAACCATGCTGAATGAGTTTGTAGTTCTGACAGCAGGAAACCTGAAAAACAATTAAAAACAATGTGACACAGAAGCAATTACCCAGAAAAACATTAGAGTGTTTCCTTCCACTAAATTAGGGGTGACAAAGCAACACAACACTGCAAAATATTAGCAAGAATTTTGGTCCATTTTCTAGTGGAAATGTCTTAGTTCACTCAAAATGAGACCAAAGTAACTTTTCAGCAACGTGTAGGAGCTACTTTAGAGTCAACGATTCCTTAATTTTAATGAAAAAGTTCCATTGACAGATTATTATAACGTGAAAAATGTCTTATAAGTGGAATAATCTGCCAATGGAACTAGAAAAATAAATCAATGTAATGAAATAATTTATTTAAAACAAGCTTCTATTTCTTGCTGTAAAGTTAGAAATACAGTAAGAATAAGTTAGTTTCATTTCCACTAGAAACTAGACCAAAATTACTTGCTAAAATTTTGTGTTTTTGCGGTGAAAGTTGTGGATAATCCTGTGAATTATCCTGAATGATCCGGTTTTCAGCCTTTTTTTGTTTCAGTAAAAATCTATTGAATTTGTTTTCTGCCCTTTTATTTTGACAGACTCATTTAAAGCCCAGTTTAACTTCTTATGTAATGAAAGTGTATTTGTGTGTAAGTGAAACGTTTCCTGGAGGAACCGGTCCAGTCCCGGTTGGGATTTGAACCCTCGACCTTGCTGCTGTGAGGCGCCGCTTCAAACTCCTTGAGCAGAAACTAAAATCTTTCAGTTTCGTCTTTTCCCAGGAAGTCGTGTGTTTACGGTACAGCTCTGTTGACTGTTCACTAGAGAACCTGCTGCATGAAGCCGGGCCGAACTGGGTCGAACTGGACCCGGGCCGAACTGGGTCGAACTGGACCCGGGCCGAACTGGGTCGAACTGGACCCGGGTCGAACTGGACCCGGGTCGAACTGGGTCGAACTGGACCCGGTCGAACTGGGTCGAACTGGACCTGGGTTGAACTGGACCAGGGTCGAACTGGGGCCGGGTCGAACTGGGTCGAACTGGACCTGGGTTGAACTGGACCAGGGTCGAACTGGGGCCGGGTCGAACTGGGTCGAACTGGACCCGGGTCGAACTGGGGCCGGGTCGAACTGGACCCGGGTCGAACTGGACCCGGGTCGAACTGGGTCGAACTGGACCCGGGTCGAACTGGGGCCGGGTCGAACTGGACCCGGGTCGAATGGGGCCGGATCGAACTGGACCCGGGTTGAACTTGACCCGGGTCGAATGGGGCCGGATCGAACTGGACCCGGGTTGAACTGGGCCTCCATCGTCGATCTGAGGCCATCAGGGAGGCGAAGGCAGCATGGCTCAAGCATGGGTGTTCAAAGTGAGGTGCGGGGGCCATTTGCAGCACCTGGACTGATTTCTTTTTTGAGCCCCCCTGGACCAAAATTCAAGTAAATTATTTAGTAAATTATTAATTTAAAACTACGACTTTTCAATGATTCTGTTCACTACAACAGAAAGTGATCCTCTGGTTCCCTTATGTTGTCATGGTAACTAGTTGTTGACTTCTACTCTGCAGTTCATCCAGATCTGCTTTTAGTTTCTGTATTAAAACCTGGCTGTGGTTTCAGATGAACTCTGACCTAAATCCTGATTTTATTGCTGAGAACACAGTAAATATTTTCTAGTTTTGTTCAACTGCTTTTCATTTAACAAGAAATCAATCAGCTTTATTTACCTTTAGGTAGATTTGATTACAGGGAGGCGAGTCAGCCTTCAAAGTGCTCAATATTTAAAATATATAAAAAGATCAAAATAAAATGTCTCAAATACAGCATCTTCATCAGGACAAGATAGAAAAAAATAATAATTTCTTATTATTTGTTTAAAGCAGTTTATGTGTTTATTGAGGAGGTTAAAATATCTACATTTTTGGCGATTTTAGTTTTTAAAATCTAAAAGAGCACTTTTGTGCTGATAAAAAGTTTGGACCCCTGAGGCAAGGAGAAAGCCTTTTCTGTGTAAAAACAAAAACAAGATGGCTGCCGGAATGAGGTCAGCAAATTTGGACGAAGGACGAGATTTATGGGACAAAGTCCTGTGGACAGACGAGACCAGAGTGGAAATGTTGGACCAAGGATCATTTAAATGTGAACATCAGTAGCAGACTTCCTGTGTTTCTCTGAGTCCACATTTGGAGCTGAAGGTGGCTAGTTAAAGTAAAGCATTCAGGAACAAAGAAAACACGCATTGATTGGTTAAACAGTCGAACGCCGGCTGATGGATTCAGTTCAGTGACTCGGCGTTTAGTTCATCCTCAACAACAAACAGTAAAACTCACAAACTTAATCTATGATACTGAAACGTCCAGGAATAAAAGCCTATTATTATTTACATATGAGTTTTTCCTTCCACTCAACTCTGGTTTGCAACCTCCTCTTCCAGACCAACAAAGGGAGATTTAATCTCTTCTGCTGTCTGTCTGTGCGCAGCATCTACATCAAATATCTACACCAGAAATCCCCCACTAGGAGCATTCAGCTTCTATGCACCACAAACCTGGAATAAACTTCCAGAAAAGTGTAAAACAGCCGGAATATTGATTTCCTCTAAATCTAGATTAAAACCCAGCTGGTTGCTTTTGAACTGTAATAAATGAAATATTGACCAACATGTTTATTGATGATTGTGAACGTGGCACTCGTCAAAATGTAATGTTTGCTTCTGGTTTTCTCAGTTGTTGGTGTTTTCATGACTTTGTATTTTCGTGTTTTTATGATCTAAATCACTTATTGCTACACAAATAAACTTGATTGATTGATTGATTGATTGATTGATTGATTGACTGAAAAGTGATTTAATCAAATTTCTCTGTCCATCTCACACTGATTGACTCATTTTGCAAACTAAAATCAAATTACATGATTTTAGTTCAGCTTCCTTTAAAAATAAGACATTTAATTAGTTCCTATGTTTTCCTGCAGTTTGACGGTGCGGTTCCTGGCTGAGACGTGGCCTGTCCTGCGGAGCGGAGGGGGTTTCATTAGAGCGTCAGCATGACTAACGCCATGTGATGCAGGCGAGTCGCTCCGAGGTGTTGGATAAACAGCCTCAACGCCGCTACTGCTGATCCGGGTCCAAAGAGACACATCGGGTTCGACGGCTGACTGACTCAGAATGAGCTCCATCATGCTGATTCACTGGACAGGAAACACCTGACCAAGATGGCTGCCGACTCCTGCCTGAGGGTCAGAAGGTCATCTGGAGAGCCTTCCAGCATTGACCTTTAACCTCTATCTGGATTCTGTGGATTAATCTTTACTTCTTGAAGAACAAAGATCGATTCAAAGTGTTGAACCCCGATCCATCGTTTACTCAGAATTTCAGAAACTTAAGCCGATATCTGGGAAGATTAATACATTTTTTATGTTTTGGCTTTTCATTCCCATGAAAACTTTGTTTTATAGTGAAGATTTAAAATAAAACTGTATTCGTGTTTGTGTGTGCTCAAGGGAAAGCAGAGATTTAGAGTCCCAGTACGTCCTCATACTTGATTTGACATGATTCCAAGTGGTCTCGTGTTTTAATAAGTTTATATTCTAATATTCAATTTAAAGGTAGTTTAAAAAGTAAACTACTACTGGGCAAAAAGTAAAACCATTTAAAACTCCTAGCTTCCTGTTTGATTTCAAAAGAAAGGAAGTGGAGGTTATTTTGAAGCTATCTGATTGGCTGACATGTTGCGCAACACTGCCCCCTGTGGGTGTGGCATGTTTATGTCAACGATCAGGCCGGATTGGGTGAAAACTTTTCTGAAACTGAGGCTTTATGTACAATGTTTTTTAAATGACATGGCGGATTAGTTTTTTTTTCTCTCTCTTAAAAAAACAACATGTACAAGGTCTTAGGTTTGAATCTGAAGTAATTATATCTGTAATTATATCTGACTTTAAAAAAGTTTTTTTAAAAGCTTTACTTTTTAAAAAACAACTTAATGCAGCCACAAAGCCGGTCATGTTGTGTCTTTCGTGCCGGTCCCAAGCCCGGATAAATGCAGAAGGTTGCATCAGGAAGAGCATCCGGCGTGAAGCATTTGCCAAATCTGACATGCGAGTCAAGAATATGATCTCCAGTATACCGGATCGGTCGAGGCCCGGGTTAACAACGACCGCCATTGGTGCTGGTGACCAACAGGGTACCAGTGGAAATTGGGCTACTGTTGGTCAGCAAAGAAGAAGGGGAGGAAGACATGTTCATAGACAGAGAGAGAAGAGAAAAGGTAAGAGTGTAGAACTGAGAGTACAACTTTGAATGTTGGGACTATGAGAGGAAAAGCTAGAGAGTTGGCTGACATGATGCAGAGGAGAAAGGTGGACACATTGTGTGTCCAGAAGATCAGGTGGAAAGGCAGTAAGGCTAGAAGTCTAGGAGCAGGGTCCAAGCTGTTCTACCAAGGTGTGGACAAGAAGAGAAATGGTGTAGGGATTATCATAAAGGAGGAGTTGATCAGGAATATTCTGGAGGTGAAAAGAGTGTCGGGTAGGTTGATGAGCCTGAAGTTAGAAATTGAAGGTATGATGCTCAATGTGGTTAGTGGTTATGCCCCACAGATTGGATGTGAGTTAGAAGAGAAGGAGAAATTCTGGAGTGAGTCAGATGAAGTGATGCAAAATATCCACAAAGGTGAGAGAGTGGTGACTGGGACAGATTTTAATGGACATGTTGGAGCAGGGAACAGGTGATGAGGAAGTGATGGGCAGGTTTGGCATCCAGAACAGAAGGACAGATAGAGACAGGAACACAGGGTGACATACAAGAGCGGAGGTAGGAGCACGCAGGTAGATTACATCTTGTGTAGACGAGGAAATCTGAAGGAATTCAGTGACTGCAAAGTGGTGGTAGGTGAGAGTGTTGCTAAACAACACAGGATGGTGGTGTGTAGAATGACTCTGAAGGTGAGAAAGGTGAAGGGGGTAAAGGTTGAACCGAGGACAAAGTGGTGGAAGCTGAAAATAGAAGAATGTTGTGACTTTCAGGGAGGATGAAGTCAGGAAGGCATTGAAAAGGATGAAGAGTGGAAAGGCAGTTGGCCTAGATGACGTACCTGTGGAGGTATTGAAGTGTCTAGGAGAGTCAGCAGTAGAGTTTTTGATCCTAGAGAATCAGAGGATGCCTGAGGAATGGAGGAGAAATGTCCTGGTACCAATTTTCAAGAACAAGGGAGATTTCCAAAACTGTGACAACTCCAGAGGTATAAAGCTGATGAGTCATTCAATGAAGTTATGGGAAAAAGTTGTTGAAGCCAGACTGAGGTCAGAAGTGGACATCTGTGAGCAGCAGGATGGTTTCATGCCAAGAAAATGTACTACAGATGCAATCTTTGCATTGCGGATGTCGATAGAAAAGTCCAGAGAATGTCAGAGGAGCTGCATTGTGTTTTTGTAGACCTAGAGAAAGCATATGACAGGATTCCAAGAGAGGAGCTGTGATACTGCATGAGGAAGTCTGAAATATGTGAGAGTGGTGAAGGACATGTATTATAGCTGTAAGACTGTGGCGAGGTGTGCTGTAGGAGTGACAGAGGAGCTCAAGGTGGGACTTCACCAAGGATCGGCTCTGAGCCCTTTCCTATTTGCTGTGGTGATGGACAGGTTGACAGATGAGGTTAGACAGGAATCTCCATGGACTGTGATGTTTGACATGGTGATCTGTGGTGGGAGCAGAGAACAGGTGGAGGAAAATCTCAAGAGATGGAGGCTTGCCCTGGAAAGGAGAGGAATGAAGGTTAGCCGTAGCAAGACAGAATACATGTGTGTGAACGAGAGAGACCCAAGTGGAGACATGAGGTTACAGGGAACAGAAAGAAAGAAAGTGAAAGATTTTAAGTACTTCGGGTCAACAGTCCAGAACAACGGTGAATGTGGAAAGGAAGTAAAGAAACGTGTCCAAGCAGGGTGGACCGGGTGGAGAAAAGTGTCAGGTGTGATGTGTGATAAAAGAGTATCAGCAAGAATGAAGGGAAAGGTGTAGAAGACGGTAGTGAGACCAGCAATGCTGTTCGGTTTAGAGACAGTGGCAATGACGAAGAGGCAGGAGGCAGACTGGAGGTAGCAGAGATGAAGATGTTGATGTTAGGATTTGAGTTTTCTGTGTTTATTTTTGGGGTTTTTCTGTGTTTATTGTGATCCTGTTCCCTGTGAGTCTCTGTGATGTCCTGTCCTCCCTGTTGAATGAGCCCAGCTGTGTCTAGTTTTCCTGATTACCCTCCCTGTGTTTTTATACCCTCCTGTTGTCTTTCTCTCTTGTTGGATCCTTGTCATCTTATGTCGTAGTTTGCCAGTAGCGTGCGTCAGTCTGCTTTCCAGTAGAACTGTATAGTCCTGGTTTGCTAAGCTCTTGTTTCACATTGTCAGTTGCTACCGGTTGTTAGCTATGTCTAATTGTTCCTGCTGTGCTGCCTGACTTGGACTGTTTTGAGCTTTTAATCATTAAATTAATAATTTTCTTCACAACCTGGGTTCCTGCCTTCTCATCTCACCACCTCCCACAAACCACAAATCATGACAGTTGAGGTTCTCTTTGGGAGTGACTAGGATGGATAAAGTCAGAAATGAATACATCAGAGGAACAACTCATGTGATGTGTAGGAGATAAAGTCTGAGAAGCCAGACTGAGATGGTTTGGACATGTGGAGACAGTCCACATGTCCCTACCAGGATGGACCTACCAGGAAAGAGACCTAGAGGAAGACCTAAGAGGAGATTTATGGATGGAGTGAAAGAGGAGATGAAGGTGGTTGGTGTGAGAGAAGAAGATGCAGAAGACAGGGTTACATGGAGACGGATGACTCGCTGTGGTGACCCCAAAAGGGAAAAACCCGAAAGGAAAAGAAGATGTTTTTAAAAAAACAACTTCTTTAAATTAAAATTTGGAGAAATATTTATTTTATTTGGTTCAGATAATTACAAAAACCTGATACAATTTTTTGTAAATGTATTTACTCCTCTAAAGTTGTTTAAATTTAAATTTTTTGCCATACGACCGCAGACTGAAATATTTTACCTTTTTCTTTACAAATAAAAACTTAAAATTAAAGACTCTTCAAAAGTCTAGACTTAAATATTTTCCTCTATCTTTCTTTATAAAACATCTCCAGATCAGTCAGACTGGAGATGTTTTCAACTCTTGCCACAGATTCTCAGCTGGATTCAGCTCTGGACTTTGACTAGGCCGTTCTGGTGTCCTCTGATCACTTCCACATGTTGTTGTGGTTTGTGACAAACCGCAAATATAAAAGTCAGACTTATGGAGTCTATAACTCCGGTGGCAGTTGGTTGTGTTTTATTTAGGGACATGAGAGTAAAAGGGGTGGTGAGTAAAATGAGTTTTCATATTTTATTTGTAAAAACTTTTGAACACTTTGAATCTTTTATTTTCACTTCAGAATAGTGCTCTACTTTGTGTTGGTAGGCCATAAAGTCAGAATAAATTCAACATCCAGGTTCTGATTTAGATTTGTCAAAAACATGCCAAGTTTTGTGATAAAAATACATGTATATATTTTTATCATAATTAATAATATACAAACTTTTTCCACCTTTAATTGAACTCAAACCCTGTACAGACAAACTACAAAACAACCAAATGAAAACAGTGTAGAAAGCGTTCCATTAAATAAAGGTATTAGTCAGGAGAAGGAACAAAATTATCCTTTCATTGGTCCGTTAAAAATGTTCCATTTTCCAAAAAATAAGATTTTCACCTTTAACCAACTTTATCTTCACAGTTTGACTGCAAAATATTAACTTTTGAGGTGGAAATGTAAGAAAATCGGATTAAAATCCTGGGTGCTGTGGTGGCACAGGGGCAAAGCACAACCCATGTTTTGAGGCCTTAGTCCTCATGCTGGTGGTCACAGGTTTGATTCCTGGCCTGGTGACATTTGCTGCATGTCTTTCCTACTTTCAAACAAAAGCCACTAGAGCCAACAAAACCTTTTAAAATAAATAAAATCCTACTGCAGCCGTTTTTTCATCCTTTACTGCAGACATTGTTAAACAAATCTGAAATAAATAAATAAAACCGTCCTGATCGTGCCTCTGTGCTAACAGTTCAACCTGATCCGTTTGAACCACATTCCATTCATTCTGTCTTAAAATAAATAATTTACATTTAACAACCTGCAGCTGAAAGAAGCTGCAGGTTGTTTTTGCGTCTCGTATTGATTTGAAATACTTTTCCAGCCAGATCCCAGCCTGACACAAAGGCTCTTCTGGAGTAAATCGACAGCGCTGACCGGAGCTTCGTCCTTCAGTCATCGTCTAATGGCTGCTGGACAAAAAGAAAATCTGCTTTTACTCCAAACTGTCATCCTTGGTGTTTTTCACAGATTTAAACACCATGATGTGCGATGAACATATGTTGTGTAATTTATCAGTTAGTGTGAAAACAATGTTTAAGTTTCTTTCTATAAAGTTTTTGTCTGGCTTAATTTAATTCATAAAGCCAGACAGTATTTTAACAAGTATTTAACAGCATGTTGAAATACTGTAATTAGCTTAATTTTACATGATCTTGGCAGAATTTTGATATTTTTTATTTCTCTTTCAGATGAAACATGTTGTTTTAGATGAGTTTTATATAAACATACAAGTTTTAAAGATTAACTCCCTGAGAGATAATTATACATCACAAGAAAACGTCTGGGATTTAATTTAAAAAAATAAAAATATGTGTTTTACATCAATAATGTGAGATTTTAATTTTATTCAACCTCAATTATTTTTGTTTAATTTATTTTCATTTTAATTTATTTGGTCTAACATGATTTAATTTACTTTTAATTTACTTTAATTTTAATTTAGTTAAATTTAATCTTTGTCTGTTAAATTTAATTAGTTTTATTTTATTTCTTAATTTAATTGACTTTTATATTTAATTTAATTTTACATTTCATTTCATTTCATTCTTTGATGTATTTCATTTTAATTTGATTGTGTTCCATTGAATTTATTTTCCTTCAATTTAGTTTTGTTTTTTTATTTTCCTTTAATTTTAAATTATTTTGTTGAACTGAATTTTATTTTATTTTATTTTATGCTAACTGTTGCTCCTGTTAGCTAACAACCGGAGGTGCGCGCGCTCCTACGGACGCGGGAGCGCGCGCACAGGAACCGTCAGAACATGAAGGAAGAAGAAGAAGATGCGGCTCGGTGAGTCTACATTCGGGTTTAAACACCACAGAATCGCATATTTGTTGCGTTTGAATGGTTTTTAACGCGTCAACTCGACGCGGATCGGTACTGTGAACCTCCAGCGACGACACCGCGTGTCTGCGGTACTTCACGGAGCTTATATTCCCAACTAAAGTCACCAAACTCGGTGTCGTGAGCGAAGTTGTCTCCAGGGGGAAATGGTCGCTCTCAGCCTTGAGTTTGTTTCAGAGTGAATCAGGAAATAAAAATTCAGTTGTTATGATTAGAAACGGAGCATTCTGGACAGGAAGCGGGACAGATATCGGTGTGCTGTTGACAGCTCCACGTCATCCATCAGCTGATGAAGTGAAAGGACCACAGCGGCTTTTATTCTGGGAAAACTGGGACATCCGCTGGGAAACAAAGAGCTTCCCAATCCTGGAAGAGCAGCGTCTGAGTCCTGTTTAAAAAGCTGGAAGTCTGTGCTCATAGTTAGAGAGAAAAACTTTAAAACGACCGAAACTTTTGGAGGTAGAGGTGTGGCTTCAGGAAACTTCTCTGCCTCAGGTGGACCGGAAATTAATTACACCTACAAACTACATGGTTTGTGGTTTGTAGTTTTTTGTAGTTTTATTTTTCGTCAGTAGTTTTATACGTGTTACAGCAAAGTGGTTAAAGGTGTTTATGAATCCAAGCTCCAACTACTCTGGCTTTCTTCAATGTTTTAGGAATGTGTTTATTTGAATTCCTGCATTCTTGAGGTCAGACACTGATGTTGGACCTGGCTCACATTAGCCCGTCTAACTACCCATCAGGTTGAAGTCAGTTCTCTGAATTCATGTCTTTATAGACCTTGTGTTGTGTTATATGAAACTGTCTCCAAGATGTTAGATGCATGAAATTGTCCAGAATGTCTTGTGCTGAAAAATTAGGATTCCGTTTCACCAGAGCCACATTGTTGTTTAACAAACTAAATATTTAGTTAGGAAGCCGAAAATGTATCTTCTACCTAAATATTTAGTTGGGATGTAAATGTTTAGTTGCCAACTAAATATTTGGTTTGAAGCTAAATATGTAGCTATCAAGCTAAGTATCTAGTTAGCAAGCTAAATGTTTAGTTACCAAGCTGAATACTTTGCTTCTATCTAAATATTTAGCTGGAAGCTAAATGTTTGGCTTGTTAACTGAATATTTAGTTTGGATCTAAATATTTATCTCCCAAATATTTGCTAAACATTTAGCTAGTAAGTCAAATATCCAAATGAAATATAAGCCAGCTAATTGTTTAGCTTCCTAACTCAATATTTAGTTTGAAACTGACATTTCTAAATGAAGGAATGAATAATAATAATAACAATAATAATAACAATAATAATAATAATATGAAGAAGATAAGAGGAGCACTTCCTTCATTTGGTTAATTTCAGCTTTTTTGAGGATATGCATCACATTAATGGTTGAAAACGTTTTGATAGAAGCAGCGATCTTCCATTCTAAGAGCTTTGTGTGGCAGGAACATGGAAGAGTTGAAGCCTGTTGTTTCCTGTTGTAAAATATTTCTGCACAGATTTTTAGGGTTTTAAGTTTAAAACATATGAATCGTAATGTTTTGTTGTTAGAAAAACCCTGCATGAATATTTGTATGTGTTTCTGCAGGAAGCTGTCAATGTTTTTTAGAAAAATCTGTATAAAAACATTCAGACTTCTTATCTGACTCTAATCAAATACTGATTACCCGACATTTCCTCCTCATTTTAAAAGATTAACGCAGGATTTTTTTAGCTTTTCTGTTAGAGCTTCGGATGTTTCTCCTTATTGATCTGCGTGACACAACATTCAGGAAAATCAACACAAGTCCTGCAGAAAGATAAACCACATGAGTCTCTGACAGTCGGCCCTCACACCATGGCTGTCGGATTGTTTACGATTATTTAGCTTCAAACTTTTCCACATCTTCTCACTTTTCTACCACAAACTTCAATGTGAAAAACCAACAATAAGTAGAGACTAAATGTCAAATGGAAGTAAAATGATTTGTGCTTCCTTTTTTCTCTGATCAGTCAGATGTTGATGTTACATATAGATGTAATAAACAGGAAGTAAAGGCTGTAAATTAACATGGACCAGAGACGTTTTCCGTTCCTCTGGTAAGGCAGATGAACCAGATCAACCCTATACTGTACTGATGGAAGCAGAAACGGCTTTTAAGATGTTAAAGTGCGTTTTAGCTGCAGATGCATCTTTGCTACAAATGATCAAACATTCATCAAAAGGCTGCTGCTTTGGGAATAAAATGTTTGATTTCTTATTTAAAAAGGAACTGAAATATTTGTGTGTATTTTTTATGTAAACAAAAATTGCATAATGTGCCAGTTTTTAAATCTAATTAATACATTAATCGCCAGAATAATAGATTCTTCTTCAGAATAATGGATTAGTCGTTAGAAGAGCTGCAGCCGGAAGAGGTTGTAACGTGATAAATTGTTGAAGGGGTGTGAATATTTTCTGTATTCTGCTCTGAGCAGACTCAGTCAGCTTCTCTCATCGGTTCAAAGTCCTGCCTTGAGAATTCAACCCTTGACCGAACAGATAACACGAGTTCAGATTAATCAGCGCAATGGTGAGTAACAGGATGAGCCCAGCAGGACCTGTGTGTTTAACCTTGATGATTGTCTTCTTCTCTGCAGATACCGACCGCATCACATGTCTGCTGATAGCTCCACAGGCTGATATAAACTGCAGCTGCAACTTCCTTTCTCTGGTTTCCTCCTTCCAGACTCAGAGATGGACCACTCGGCTGTGTTCACAGCTCTGGATAAGGTCTGTGAGGAGAACATCTGTGTCCTCAGTGGCCCCTCCGAGTCGCCGTACGGCACCGTGACCAAGCGCCTGGTGGCGTGTATGAGGAAGATTCGCCAACATGGCCGCGCCCTGGAGCCGGTGGTTGCCAGCTTCACCGCCGTCTACCATCACTACGACTTCGACGCCCAGACGCCTGGAAACGGATACCGAACGCTGGTCAAGGTGAGGCGCACTTTCAGGATCTGTAGAAGTTCTGATAGACTCAGATGGTTGGGGAGCAAAACTGCAACATTTGTTTCATTCTGAGCCGAATGATTCAAATGCTTTGAAATACCTGTTCCCCTCCTCACCTGTGGGGGCGCTGTACCAAAAACCTCTGAAGGAAACAACACAAAAACCTCTGAGGAAGACGACAAACGGTTCAACAGTATAATCCATCCAACTGTCTTCATGCTTGTTTAACCCTTGTGGGGTGACGAAGGTGCTGGTGCCTCTCCAGCGGCAGAAAGGCAGGGTCACCCCGGAGAGGCGGGGTCACCCCGGAGAGGCGGGGTCACCCCGGAGAGGCGGGGTCACCCCGGAGAGGCGGGGTCACCCCGGAGAGGCGGGGTCACCCACTAGAGGCGGGGTCACCCTGGAGAGGCGGGGTCACCCACTAGAGGCGGGGTCACTCTGCAGAGGCGGGGTCACCCAGGAGAGGCGAGGTCACCCTGCGGTCGCCAGTCGATCGCAGAACAAGAGATGAGCAGGACAGTCAATCATGCACACAGTCACAGCTCAGGGTAGAGAGATCGATGAGTGATTGATAAGTAAAATAATTGGTGTGTCTATTATTTCTCCTCTGCTGCTTCAGGTGCTGCAGTCCTGCCTGGTGCACATCATCCATAAAGGCCGCTACATCGCCTCCAACTGCAGAGGAGCCTTCTTCAGGGCGGAGCACAACGCCGCAGAGATGGAGGCGTACTGCAGCGCCCTCTGCCAGCTGCGGGCGCTGCTCCACCTCGCCCAGCGGCTCCTCCACGACAACGCCCACGGGGAGCTGTACTCGTCGCAGGACGCCGACCTGAGCGATCGCTTCGTTCAGGAGTACAGCTCCATGCACAAGGCCTGCTTCTACGGGCGCTGCCTGGGCTTCCAGGTGAGCGTTACCTGTCCTCACCTTCATCCCTTAGGATTGATCTATGCTGTCTTTCATGAATTTCAGAATGACATTTGAAAATTTTCAACTTTTGAAACTCAAAATGTTTCAAACTCGGAGATTTCCTTGTTTTTTTATTAAAAAATGTCTGAGATTAATATCAGCTTTTGGGAGAAATTTCCCACTTTTTTTCTCTCTCTGACAGTCTGAACACGCCGTCATAGAAATGGTTGCATCAGATTGTTTGTATTTCTCTTTTTTTGTTGTGTGACCAGAGAGCTGCAGACTGAATTGGGATAAATAAAGTTCTTGGCTAATTGATTGTTTGGTTTGGCAGTTCTCTCCTGCTCTGCGACCGTTCCTCCAGACCATCGTCATCAGCATGGTTTCCTACGGAGAGACGTACGGCAGACAGCAGTCTGGCATAGGTGAGGCTCTCTGGGTTTATTCCCACCAGCCCTGTTCAGTCCACTTTGATCCAACTCCAGTCCGTCTGCCGATAAAGTCCAGTCCGGTTGGTGACCTCTGACCTGTGGTCGTCCAAACCTCAATCTGGGTTCGGTTGAAGTGAACTCTGGTTCAGTTATTCTTCTTTCACATAGATTTATGCGTCCAGGTCAGTCTAACTGTTCATACGCCATGCTCAGAGGGTTTGGTTTGTTTGTGAAAGCTTTCCGCAGCAAAGATGTGAAAACAGCCTTTGACTGATGCTCCCGTTTCGATGTGATGCGTTTTCCTCTTCCTGCAGGAACGGCCGCTCTGTCCCTCCTCACCTCAGGGAAGTACGTCATCGACCCGGAGCTGCGAGGCGCCGAGTTCGAACGCATCACCCAGAATCTGGACTTGCACTTCTGGAAGTCCTTCTGGAACGTCACAGAGTCCGACATTTTATCAGTAGGCAGGGTCAAAAGCTGCTGAAGTCATCAGGTCGTCGGAGGAGCTCTGCTGCGATGCAGACATTCATTCCTCGTGTTTGTTTCCCCCAGGGTTTCACCCGGATCGCCTCCAACCCGGTGCAGGTCAACCTCACGCTGACCGTGCCTCCAGAAAGCCTGCAGCTCCCTCTGGCCTCCGACCCCACGCTGTCCACCAGCGTGTCGCCCCCCGTCGCCCACTGGGGCCCGGGGCCGGTCCACATGAGGCTGATCTCCTACGACCTGCGGGAAGGCCAGGTGAGCAGAGGCTCCCCCAGAACCTGCCGAGCCCGCTGGCATCCCACCGTGTTTTCTGTTAAAAAGTGTTAAAAGTTCATCATAATTTAGAAATAACAGCTTGTGAGGCCAGTTGATCCATTAAGCTGTAAACGTAGATTAATCCATCTTTACTATCACTGTTACTGGTGTATAAAAAACCTTTTTATGATAAACAAACAATGCTTAGCCTGGTGGGGGGGCAGTAAAGCCTGGCAGCCCGCCAGGCTGATAACGCACTGGGGGAAACACTGATTCACTTGGAGCCGTAACTGAACGTCCAAGCAGGCGGTGCTGTCCGGTTTCGGTTCAGACAGGAAGCAGACCATGAAGGGAAACGATGCTCAGATTGTTTTCTGCATTAATCAGGCTGAAAATAAACAGATGAGTTGAAAGCAGGAGATTCTGCAGAGTTTCTGTTGGACCAGTTCTGCAGTGCTGTGAAAATCCACATTTAACCAGACCGTTATGAGGCCAGTCGGTTCAACAAAGCAATTAAACTGAACCTGAAATTCAAGCAAAGATGAGAGGCATACTTCCTCTAAAGTGTTTATTTGGCGTTTTAGCTAAAATTTAGCTCGCTTAGCTTCCCCTTGGTTAATTTTTCCAGATAAATTCAAAAGCACAAATTAACTTTGCTGCTTTGTAAACAAATCAAATACAAAACAAATCAGTTCAATAAAATTTCAGTTGAAATTTTATTGAACTGATTTGTTTTGTTTCCTGACTGTTATGAATTCTTCAAGTAGTTAGTTTTGAATAATTTTATTTAAAGAAACACAGGATGTGAAAATGGACAGAAGAGACCAGATGTAAACATTGAGGTGGTTGAATTTAGCGCTGTAGCGTTAGCTTCCTCTAAGCACCATGTTGTTGTTGTGGTTTAGCGCTAGCGGAGCTAATGTTTATGATTAGTTCGTTATTGTTATTATTGCATCCATCAGTGCCGACCAGTAAGAACGTCTCTGAGGTTTCGAGGCTCTTCTGATCATTTGCTCAACATCGTCATGTGCAAACACCGCGTTTATACACCTTTTGATTTCATTTCTTTGGTAACATTTTTTTTTGCATATTTCATAAACACTGATGTGTTGCTAGTGAACAGTTTCATTTGGAGACTGACAGACGGAGGATTTGTCTGATTTTTTTTAGCAATTTTGAATGTCAGTTGATTTTTTTGATAAACCCTTAGAAAACAGTTCAAATGCAATTTTACCAAATACTAAACTTGAAACAGTTTTAATGTCAGACATGATAAATATTAGTTTTCCTGTTGCTTCTGCCCCTGTTGCAACAATGCGGTGCTCCTTCCATATTTCAGGACAGCGAGGAGCTGCTGGGGTTTTCCCAGGGCGACGCGGCGCCCATCGCCTCGCCCCGTCTGCCCTGGGTGCAGAAGAAGCCGCCGTCGCCATGGCTCCTCATCCACTTCCACGGCGGCGGCTTCGTCGCCCAGACGTCCCGTTCCCACGAGGTGAACCGAACGCAGTGCCCTGAGGATTAGGAGTCAGATCTAGGGCTGCAATCGTTTTAGGCTGATGATTGATCGATTAATCTTATGATTAATCGATCAATCTGATGAATTGAATTATTTTTTGTAAAGTGCCTTGAAACAGAATTTGTTGAGAGTTGGCGATGCATAAATAATTTCATGATTAATTGATTAATCAGAAAAAAATCAGCAAGTTCTGCATAAGTTTTATGTAGCCACTTAAACTTATTGATAGAATATTAGAAAAACACTGCAGCACCAAATGAACAAGTCAAAACCTTTTTAAATAAGAAAATAAACATTTTAACACCATCATCCCTGTAGGGATTTGTAGCAAAGGAAGCATCTGCAGCTGATCATTGTTGGATTAACAGACTAATAATTGGATAGAAAGAGATGCTTCATAGAAGATTAGCTTCTTACAGAATGTGAAGCTGAAACTGCCACTACAGGAGTTCTGCTTAGACCAGATTTACAGAAAAATACTTTTTTTTTCCTTTTAAATTCAAATTTTATACATATTTTTGTAGTTTTGGCTTAATTGCAGCTCTGTTTGTGGAGTTATTTCAGCAAATAGCCTTTATTTCAGTCTGTTTATTCCAGTTAACGATTAATCGATTACTAAATGTTTTGGATGTGGATTAATCATGATTAATCGTTTCAGATCGGATCACCATGCTCTGCGTTTTTGTTTCCTTCTTCAGAATTACCTGCGTAACTGGTCGAAGGAGCTGAGCGTCCCGGTTCTGTCCGTCGACTACTCTCTGTCGCCTGAAGCTCCGTTTCCTCGGGCGCTGGAGGAATGCTTCTACGCCTACTGCTGGGCGCTGAAACACTGCCACCTGCTGGGTAGGTGCTTCACGTCAGGAAACACCCACTACTGCCCAGTGATAATCAGCAATACACAATAACAAAGTAATCAGTTCTGACGATTAATCGAGTAACCTCATAAAACGTTGCTCTGCTCAGAACTGTCTAAAGCTCGTAAAAAAACATGAAAAAGAAAAGCTGAGTAAAAATAATTTGGTTCCTTTTTTTGATCATTTTATATCTTAAAGTCCAAAACGATTCTTTTCGTCTGAAGGTTGAAATATAATTTCTTTAATTGAAATATATTTTTCTAATCCATGTTTTCTAATTTTTTTCACATTATTACTCGTCCACCAGCTGCAGATGGAGTTTTCATCTTTTCAAGCTTTTCCACAGGTTAAGCTCTGGACTCCGTCCAGAAACGCTGCTAAAGAAACTCGTAGGAAGCTGAAATCAGAAGCTGTGAGGAATCAATTTATGCTGAACAAATGTAAGCTCTGCAGAACCTGTGAGGTCAGAACCAGAACATCTGCGGTCGGACTGAATCACAAACGGGCTCTGAAAGAAGCTGAAATCACAGATTTTCATCTGCTGCTGTGATTTTCTACTTTCCAGGAATAAATCCTGGATAAATCCAGGAATAAATCTGTTCTGTGAAGAACAGTCGGATCTGTTTCTGATGAAACCGAGCCCGCGAGGCCCGGTTTCACCTGCAGGCGTTGTGTTCAGAGTGAGAGGAGAAATGTGATCTTTGTTGGCACTACCTGTTCGTTCCGGCCGCCGTGTTTTCGGATAAACTGAAAGATTTTCAGGGAATTGTTTTGACCTGCAGCAAAGACAAAGCGGGAGTTTTTCCAGCGCTGGTTTGCAACAGTATCCTCCAGATTTCAGTAACAGTAGTGAGATTAGAGAGGAAGAGCTGCAGCTTTGTTTGTTTTGTAAAGTGTAGATGAAGGAAATCTGAGCAACATGCCGGACTAGGTACTTTGCTGCTTTTACTTAATTTATTAAACTTTACTAAACACAAGATTTTCAAAGAAAGCGACAGAAATCCTGGTTTTAGTTGCTCAGAACCGACAAAGTCTATTTCTTTTGTTTTTAGCCAAGATGTAAAAGATATAAAAACTGGAGGCTTTTCTTTTAATGAAGCAAACCCACAAAGTGTATTAAATCTGATTTGGATTCTTTTATTTTCAAATTGATCTCTTTTGTTTATTCCCTCATTTATTTTGAAATTTATTTCATTTTTTAATTTTTATCTAAAAGTCTTTATATTTCTTATTTATTTATTTTATTTACTTTATTTTCTCATTTATTACTTTTTCACATGTTCTATTAATTTTTCTAATTTATTTTCATTTAAAATTGAAAACAACTTATTTATTTTCTATTTTGTTTCATCCTTGAAATAAGTTCTGAAATAAAATGGAAACTAATGACAGACCGTGTGTTTGGTCCAGGTTCTACGGCGGAGCGGGTCTGCCTGGCCGGGGACAGCGCCGGGGGAAACCTCTGCATCACCGTCTGCATGAGGGCGCTCACCGCCGGCATCCGCCTCCCCGACGGCATCATGGCCGCCTACCCCGCCACCCTGCTCACCACCGACGCCTCGCCCTCCCGCCTGCTCACGCTCATCGACCCCCTGCTGCCTCTGGGCGTCCTCGCCAGGTGCATCAACGCCTACGCAGGTATGTGGGCAGGGCTTCGCGGCTCGTTTCGCCCAGCAGAACCTTCCGGCGCCGCTGGAGCAGAACGCAGGTCAGCGAGGAGATTTATGTGTAAACGGGACGATGAGGAAGGAGAGGGGGGGTTAATACCCGCCTCCAGGGCCGCTCACAGCTTTTCCCGGGGCCGGGATCCGTGGGCCCCCTGCCCACTGCTTTCTGTAACCAGCAGGACATTAATTAATATTCACCTTTTTAAAGACATAATTGTTTAATTTCCTCCTTAAAACCGGTTCTAAATTATCTTCTTATAGTTATATATATTAAATGACTTAAATGAAACTGGAAATATTGACATTCTTTTTAATATATTCCAAAGGTCCTCATTTATTATTCAATATAATAATTATATTTGTGAATCTAATTAAAATCATCATTTTAGAGCAGCTTTTTGCTTCTTGTGCTAAAGGTTGTAATGAAATAACTTGATCTGCTGCTCCGTGTCACTACAGAAAAACCGAAGCCTCTGATTGGTCAGCTGCAGACCAATCACCTTTACTGTTACTCACCAGTATGTCTGCCCTGTTGAAATATTCATACATCGTTTCAAAGGCGTACGGTTGTATAACTGAGCGTCCGTTTGCAGCCATTTTAACTGGCGAGTGTAAACGTTGAGTTTATACTCGCCAGCTTTCTGGGATTTAAAGTGACAGGACGCCCTAAAGCAGAACTGAGCAGACTGAAATCTGATTGAGAAAGATTGTGTGTTTAAAAAAAAACAGTAGTGAGCATCCTTTGAGGAGTCTGATCCTGAACGGCTGAAGGAAGCGTCGTATGTCAGATTTCTGCTTCCTTGGAAGGGAAATAATAAAACTGGATTTATGTGATTCTGTCAGTATTTTAAAGTGGCTTCAATAATTTGAAGGGAAAACTGGATGAACCAAAAGAAGCAGCATTCAGCTTCTATCCACCACAGATCAGGAACAAACTTCCAGAAAGCTGAAAAACAGCCGAAACCCTGAGCTCCTTTAAGTCCAAAGATCTAGCAGGTTGGATTTGATTCAGAAACATAATAAATGAAACAGTGATGAACTAATTTAATGAGTCTGTGATTTTGGTGATGCTCATCAAAGTGTGATGTCTGTTTTCCTCATTTGCTGGGGTTTTATTTTCGTGCTTTTCGAACTGCCTTGTTGCTGAAATGTGCTAACAGTAGTAAACTTGATGGTACTGACCCGGCCTGGTTCCTCCAGGTTCGGACTTCCAGACGGTGCAGCCTGCAGAGCGGCGCGGCAGTCTGAGCGCTCTGGGCCGGGACACGGCCCTGCTGCTCAGCGACCTCACCCAGGGAGCCTCCAACTGGATCCAGTCCCTTCTGGACCCGGCCCGGACCAAGCCGCCCCCGCCGCACCGAGGCGCCGACCCCCACAGGGCGCCGGGCCCCGCCGCCACGGCCGGCGCCGCCGACATCCTTCACTACCCGGACGGCTTCGAGCCGCTGCGGTCCGAATGCCACGCCTACGTCCTGCCCACGTCCTGCGCCGTCATCAGGAACCCGTTTGTGTCTCCTCTGCTGGCGCCAACCGGCCTGCTGAAGGGCCTGCCGCCGGTCCACCTGGTGGTAAGACAGGAAGGAGAAGCTCCGGTTATTCTATACATGTTGTTTCACAGGAAGAAACTCCCTGCAGGACCAGAACCCGGATCAGAACCAGTTCATAGTCCAGGATCTAAATGTTTATGCTCCATCATAAAAGTCCAGGTGAAATAAAGACGGGTTCTGCTTGGGAACCAGAACTCACAGCAGGTTCCCAGAAACTATGGGGAAAAATTTGACCAATAGAAACGCTCTACTTGCCCCGCACTGACCAATAGAAGAGCTGCTGCTAACGTCCGCTCACACGAAGGAAGGAAGTCCCGCCCCCAGAAGTGTGGAACATAATCTGAAAAATGCTATTTGAAAATAGTTTATAATTTCACAAGTCGGTGTGAATTTTTTGTTTTTGCTCAAGTAAAATTTTATTAAATAAAATTGGCAAAAAGCATTAAGTTTGCAAAACTAAAGTCTGAAAAGATAATTTGAAAAACAAAATTTTACAAAAGGAATATCTGGAACAATAATTGGAAAAAATAATAAAAAAATCTGAAAGAAAAAGTGAAAAGAAATAAAAAAGTAAATAAAATCTATTTTTATCTTTTTCAATTCAAGACTGATGCACTTTTGACCCATGCTTGATACAAATTTAAATATTTTATTTTTTTTACCCCTCGCTGGGTAAAATTATCACCGGCCTTTTTTAAAATGAAAAATCTTAAGTACAACACAAAATTTTAATCCTTTTATAATCAAACTACTATCACGACTAAAACTGATCCAAAACCTTTAACTGAAAAGCCGACTTCAGCTTTTATCTAATTCGTTAAATTTGGCTAAATATAGAGAGAGTTTTTAATAAAATTGACCTAAATCCTGTTTCAAATTTGCTAAATTGAGAACAAAACAATTTGAAAACTAGATGTCTTTCTACTAATAAAGCAAAAACACTTTTAGGTTTTGGATGAATAACAAACCTTTACTGTTAAGAAATGAAGGGAGAGTTTATTTGCTTGATTTTATTATTTTCTTTACCCACAAGTAGATTTTGACTCTAGTGAAATTTTGACTGGTTCCAAGCCCCCTGTTTGAATGTATGTGCACTCCACACTTTTCAGATTTTTAACAGGCTAATCAGTTCTTCTCCGCTCTGTGTTGATGATAAAACACGGTGAAGTCTGGACTGACGGGTTGCTTCGGTTCCCTGCAGGCGTCGGCGCTGGACGCCTTGCTGGACGATTCGGTGATGTTTGCGAAGAAGCTGCGGGCGATGGGCCAGGCCGTGACCTTGACGGTGGTGGACGACCTTCCTCACGGCTTCCTCAGCCTGGCGCAGATCTGCAAGGAGACACAGTTCGCCTCTGACATCTGTGTGTCGCGGATCCGGACGGTCTTCCAACCGCCGCCGCAGACTTAGCGCCGCGTCGTCGGGTCGGTTCTGCCACCACAGGAAGTAAAACTGCACTTTAAACCTGAACTGCACAGCAAAACTGGATCCGACTGACGGGTTCCAGGTTCTGATTAGAGGAACATTCAGAACCGCAGGAGGAAATCTGTCCCTCAGGTTCTGAGACACTCCCAAAGTAAAAACTAATTCTCCTGTGAGGTTCTGATTCTGACCGACTGTGCCTTTAACAGAACCTCCTGCTCCTCCTCCAGCATCCAGCAGGAATCAGGAAGTTCCTTCCACATGAACTGTGTTGTTATTAATATTGTTTTGTTTGGACCCTATGTGTAATTTGATGTTTACAGCAGTTTGTGAAGAGAACAAACTCCAGAGTGCAATAAACCTGAACTACCAGAACCTTTTGGGTCTGTTGGAATATTTAGATCTGATATTTAGTCGGCTGCAGAAACTGTCCACCACCCAGGAATATATTCACTGTCAGGTTTTACTGCACTGCTTCAAAAAAACCTAGAGAAAATCATAAGAATAACATTTCATTTTATTTCACTGTTTATTTATCAAATGATTAAATAAAATAGAATCTAAATAAATAAATCATGACATAAAATACATAATAAAGGATTAAATGAAATCTATAAATAAATTATGAAAAAAGATTCAAAATAAATGACGGAATAAAACTGAAAAATTAGAAAATAAAATTTTAAATATATAAATGAATGACATAACATTGAAAAAAAAATTGAAAACATGATTTTTTTTAGATAAATGAAATAATTGAAGATAAATTAGGAAATTAATCACTAAATATGCAAGGAAATATGTTTTGTATTTAATAAATTAGGTAAGGTAAAGCACATTTTCAGCAACAAGGCTGTTCAAAGTGCTTTACATGAATTAAAGAAATACAAAAGACAAATTGGTAAAACTACACATTGTTTCCCCATGTTTAACACTAAATTAGGAAATTAATTATGTTGTAATTATTTATTTCCTCATTTATTTATTGTTGTTTTTGGCAGGATAAGTCCTCCATACACTGTTAAACATCCAAGAGAAAGTTATCAGTAAATAAATGTCGCAAATTATAAAACAAGCTGAAGAATACTACGCCATAAATGGCCAAATTTAGCGCCCCCACCTGGTATAGATATGTAAAACAAAATTATTATACATATTCCGACTTTTAACTTCATAACAAACTTCTAACTTCATAACATTTATTCAGTTTGGAAAAATCACATTGTAACAAAAACATAATGAAATAAAACTATTATTACTATAAAGTTTTCTTCTTATTCATAATGTAGACTTTAAATTCAGAACTGTGGGTTCAGGGTAAAAACAGCCGCCATACTCCAGTCTGGCGGCAGGTGGCAGCAACGTCACCCCAGACGCCTGATAATAAGCCGCAGGGATTCATCGAAGAAGAGGAGGCGACCATGTTGATTTAAAGGAAGAAGAAACACAATAGAGACGAATTATTTCAAGATATTTTCAGCTTATTTAGAAGAAAATTGTTAATTCACCGCACTCAGAGCATCGCTCGTACAATAACGCAGCTTTTCAGGTATGTTTATCGGACTTTGGAGAGCTCACCGTCGGTTAAAACCCGGTTGTTGGCACGTTAGCTCCTTGCTAACGGCTCGCTGTTGTGTTGGATTTATGAAGCGTCAAATATTCATAACCAAATAAAGGTCAAAGTTTGTACAATATTATCAAAAAATTGTTTTTTATAACTTTATCTGCATTTAAATGAGTAAGTTGTGTGGTTTTTGAGTCAAAGTGTGTGCGCTCGGATTTTAGTTTAAGTTTGTCTTAGCCGTTAGCTGCTAATGTCTTTCTTGACGCGCAGTTTCAACGCCACCTTAAAGCTTCTCGACTCAAATAGAACCAGAAAACCCATCAGAAGCCCCACAAACTGGAATGTATGTTAATATAAATTAACATATCAATTCAGAGATTAGTTTGAATTTGACTGTGGTTGTTAAAGTAGACGTTAAGTTGTGGTTAGCCGTAGCTTAAACAACGTGAGTCCTCCAACCTTCAGCGAGTCACTGTGTTTCTGTTTCTCAGTTGTTTCTGTTTCCCCGCAGGTGTGTTCTGGACACACCTGCTGGGTTTACCTGCGAAGCATCAAAACAACAAACTCCACCGGCCTGCTTTGAGCTAACGGGGCCAAATTAAATTGAAAAGAGCAATGATTTGACTATTAAACTGATTTATCTACAGTGCAAACAGCCTTTAAAACAGATATTTTTTCAATCAGTTTAGGTACAAAAAATGTGATTTAAAATAATCAATTTATGCATTTTTATGTATAAATGGCCACAAAACTGTTCTCTGCTGAAAAAGTTATTTTACAGATTAAAATAAAAAGTAGAAATTATGTTTGGTGAACTTGTGACTTGTGTTTTTTCACCTTAAAGACGACCCAGAAACTGTTGATGCTGTTAAATGTTTGCTTCAGGTTTCTGAAAGAGGATCTGAGAAGAAAATTTTTGTTTTTAAAGTTAGTAGACAAATAAAACATCTCAACACATCCTGAGGTTGTTTTTCTGGTTTCACTGCCTCTGAACGTTAACCGTTTGGTTTTCAGTCTTTAAGTCCTGATGAAGTTCTGTAAGGTTTTGCTCTTCAGTGTTTTTCGGGCAGAAAACGGAAGCGCTGTGGCTTTTTGAAAGTTGATTGACGATTCATCCTGCCTGTTGGAGTCTGAAGTGTTTTGTTTGGATGGTTTGTTTCCAGGTGGGACGTTTGAGTCATCGGTCTGGATCTTTTGGAGGCGGGGAGTTTGCGGCGCTGCACGCTTCAGGCCGACCGGATCATCCCTGCTGTCGACGGAGAGGAGGAGGAATAAACCCGGAGCACAACGGAAACGCACTGAGGACTTCAAGGGCAGAAAGCTTCTCTGCTTTGGACTAAAATCCTTGTTGGATCTTTATTTTTTTTTTCCACACATGAAGCAACAGAACCTCTCCCAGTAGAGGTAAATGAAATACTGGCTTTCTGGGGACGACTGTGTAAAAAGTTGAACTTCCTGTTCTCTGGATCAGGGACATGCAGCAGCTCTCTGGGACTGGCAGTAAAACTCAGAGATATTATTGACGATAGAAACTCATTTTGGTGCAGATTGCCTTAGTTGTTCTGTTTCAGGACTGGAACCACTTCAATGCTTGTTCACGTATAATTTTTCTATATCGTGGACGAGTCTATTTCTGCACATGGTTGCAGATTTCTCTTCATTTGGAAGAGTTTTTGTGTAAAAACTAGTTTTGTTTTTGTCGGCTGTGCAGCGGTCAGTGTGATGAGCTGCAGCTTCCTGTTTATATGTAAATATTACTGAGCCATTTCTCTGCAAAGCGCTTCGAACACACAGAGAATATTGTTGAACGCTTTATTAAACTTTAGGATTTTTTACTGACGACAATTTAAGAGGCAAAAATCTAAAAAAACAAACAGAAGTTCAGGAAAAGATGGCAACAGCCCGAACGGAAAACCTCGGTCCGGTTGTGATGGGACTGAATAAGCAGAACGGGCAGCTCAAAGGACAGACCAAACCTGCTGCAGGACCCCCAGCATCAACTCAAGGAAAGAATCCAGCTGGGAGCAACCAGGATGGCGGAGGAATCAAGTTTGGAGACGACTGGAAGAAATGCCTACAGCTCCCCCCGAAGGACAACAGGGTCAAAACCTCAGTGAGTGTCGGCTCGGCCGCGGCAAGCCGGGTTCGATTTGGGACGGCTGGTTCTGATGTTGTGTTTGTGTTCTGCTGCAGGACGTCACGGCAACCAAGGGCAACGAGTTTGAAGATTACTGCCTGAAAAGGGAACTCCTGATGGGAATCTTTGAGATGGGCTGGGAGAAACCGTCGCCGATCCAGGTTCAGTCAGCGCTTCGCTTTTAGAAAACAGAAAATAATTTTTCCTTTCCTGGTTTCTAAAAGGTGCAGACAGAAACGGATGCTTTTCATCCACATGAAGACTCAGTTTTATGTCACTAAAAACATTTATGAGAAACATTTGAGAAAACTGGTTGGTGTGTGTTCATGGAAAACAGATTTATGGTCCAGTGCATTGCAGTATGCAACAAATAACGGGCCAATGTGTCCACATTTATGTGACTCCCAGTCCTCATCATCTTGTTTTATTAACTTTATATTCTAATACATTGTTTAAAAGTAGCTCAATCTGTATATCTGTCCACACATGAACCTCCTGGCATCATGTTTAATTCCTAACAGGAAGTTGTGTTGTTGTTGTTTTTTTTTTTTTTTTTACGCAATCTGATTGGCTGACAGGTTTTAGCTTAGGGCTACGCTGACCCCTGTGGGTTTGGCGTGTTTAAATCGACGCCCAGGGGTGAGTTTGGGTGGAAACTTTTCTAAAACGGATCATTTGTGTACAATATATTTTTAAACGATGTTGGTTTTATTTAAGATGTGGAAAAGCCTCGATGCAGTTCTGAAACTGTTGCTAATAAAGCTGCAGCTAACTAACTGAAGGTTCTGTTATGAAGCTTAAAGTCAGTTTATAACATAAAACCTGACATTATCAGCTGGCTGACTTTTAATTTAAGCTGGTCACTTGATGTTAATCTGGTGCGGTTTGGATGCTGCAGTTCTCCTCCTAACCAGTAGGTGTCGCTAGTGAAAACTTGGCGGTTTCTCAGGTGGAATGGGAAGACCGTTTTAATTTATCTGCTTGCCTGTTGGAGTTTTTTCAGTGTTTGCTGCGTCACACAGAAGCAGATTTGAAACGTCACTTGAAGCCGCGTTCATTCACCGGTTGGAGTCTGAGGTTTCCTCCGATTGGTGGTGATGATGTCATTTCCTCTGCAGGAGGAGAGCATTCCCATCGCGCTGTCCGGGCGCGACATCCTGGCGCGAGCGAAAAACGGGACGGGGAAAAGCGGCGCCTACCTGATCCCGCTGCTGGAGCGGATAGACCTGAAGAAGGACCACATACAGGGTGAGTCCGCCCCTCCCCCACCCGCTGCTGCCCGCGGGGAGCCGTCGCTGACGTTTCTCTGCGCTCTGCTGCAGCCATCGTCATGGTGCCCACACGCGAGCTGGCGCTGCAGATGAGCCAGATCTGCATCCAGCTCAGCAAACATCTGGGCGGAGTCAAAGTGATGGCGACGACCGGAGGAACCAACCTGAGGGACGACATCATGCGCCTGGACGAGACCGGTAACATTCACTCAGTCACTCACTCAGTCACTCGCTCACTCAGTCGCTCAGTCACTCATTCGCTCACTCAGTCACCCGCTCAGTTGCTCACTCAGTCACTCGCTCACTCACTCAGTCACTCGCTCACTCAGTCACTCGCTCACTCACTCAGTCACTCACTCAGTCGCTCACTCAGTCACTCACTCAGTCACTCAGTCGCTCAGTCGCTCAGTCACTCAGTCGCTCAGTCACTCATTCGCTCACTCAGTCACCCGCTCAGTCACTCATTCGCTCACTCAGTCACCCGCTCACTCAGTCACTCGCTCACTCAGTCACTCGCTCACTCAGTCACTCGCTCACTCTCTCACTTGCTCATATAGGCAAAATCTTATCATTCATTCACTCAGCACATTTCTGCTCTTTGAAGAGTTATTATTTTGAAAACTCTGAGTTCTTCGGGTTTCCATAGCGATGGCAGGGCGGCCATCTTGTTTGACAAGCGACTTCTAGTTATTTAGACTTTGAATTTGGTGAAATCTGAGGTGGAGCATCAGGGCCAGGCTAAGACTTTATTTATGTCACTTAACAACCAGAATAAATCCAGATTGATCTTTTAACTGTTAGCTTTGCTGTTTTATTGTGTTTTGAATTTAATTTTTAATTCATTATTGTGGGCTCACTTTATTATTTTTTTTTTTACTTTTTTTATATCTGGCAACGTATTATTTGTATAATTGTTCTAGACTCCAAAAAAATCTTTTTTTTTTTTTTTTTTTACCTGCATCAGTAATGCCTGTATTTATAGTCACACTTGTAGTTTTTAGCTGTTGTGTGTTTGTGCAATCACAGTAGATCTAAGAATTTCAACATGAAAAATAACAAAGATAAAATAAGAACCACAACATGTGAAGTTACACTTTGGAGTCCGTTTTAGTGATAACAGAAATACTTTAATCTTTTAACACTTTAGCATCAAATTCACTGCAAAAACACAAAACTTCAAGTGTTTTTGACCTAGTTTCTTAAACTTGAACTACCTTTTTACCCAGATGAGCCTGTTCAACATCAGTAATGATTGAATATTGATATAAATGAAATAATCTGCCAGTGGAACTAGAGGAACTAGAACTTTTTTTTAATCAATATTAGGAACTATTTTGTTAAAATGGCTCCGATATCCTGCTGAAGAGTTGTGTGTAAAGTTTTGTTTATTTCAAATGTGCCAAGATATTAGCAGTAGAAACTAAACAGAAACACTTGGTAATATTTTGCTTTGCAGTGTTTGTCATCAGTAGCAGGACTTGTTTAAATAACTGAACTGCCTGCAGACATTTTTTTTATCGTAATTTCAAGACGTTTTCTCTGGTAAACTTTTTTTTTTCCTTTTATTTTGACTAAATTCTTGTAGCCTGACTCTAAAACTCACAGAAAAGACAAAATAAAAGCGACTTTTTGAAAATATATGCTGTCATTTCTAACTTTATTGTTTTTTTAGAATAAAGTGTTTTAATGGTGCTTCTGCTTGCAGTGCATGTCGTCATCGCCACGCCCGGCCGCATCCTGGACTTGATAAAGAAAGGCGTGGCGAAGGTGGACCGCGTCCAGATGATGGTGATGGACGAGGTAACCATGACGACAGCCCGTCTGTGTCGCTGCCGCTCGCTCTGGAGCGCCGCGTTGACCTTCCTCCTCCTCCTCTTCCTCAGGCGGACAAGCTGCTCTCTCAGGACTTCGTGGTTCTCATCGAGGACATCATCAGCTTCCTGGCCAAGAACCGGCAGATCCTGCTCTACTCTGCAACCTTCCCCATCAGCGTCCAGAAGTTCATGGTGAGTCAGCAGGACGGGCCTCTCCGCAGCCGTACGGTTTTCCCTGGAAGGCCGCGGGAACGTCGGCAAATCTGGGAGGAGTTTGTGAGTCAAAGCTAAAGATTCAAATGTCTGGAGGTCGAATCCAGGATTCCCAGATCTGGACCAGAATAGAGGCATAGACTTCCAAACTCTCCAGGAAATTACGTAAAATAAATAAAAAAAATCCCTGATAATTCTGTGAATTTTTCTACCAACTCTGCTGCAGAATTTATTTCAGGTGATCTGACTTTTCAGCACAGGAATGTGTAAATCATTTTAGATCCAAAATGAAATGAGGATCCAGTTCAGATTTTTAGTTTTAATCGCTCTCCACGTTCAGACATAAATGATAAATATATAAACTTTACCGCAAATAAAATAAAGACAAAGGAACAAAACAAATAATTAAAATATCAGCTGCCAATTTTAATATGGTTTAAAACTCAACACCTTTCCCGCTGCGTCTGCCATCGTTATCAGATCAGAAATCTCCTGTTTGTTCTGCAATGCATCCTGGGAAAAGGCGGGCCAGGGAAACGATGGACGCTTTTAATTTCATCGCTGTGATGTGGTCGGCACAAAGTCACTCCAGGGGCCACAACTGGCCCCCGCACCACACTTTGGACATCCCTGCCTGTCATTGCCTCTTTCTGGGGTAAATGTCTGTCCTGGTGTGATCCGTGTTCTGGTTCTGGTTCTGCAGGTGAAGCACCTGCAGAAACCGTATGAGATCAACCTGATGGAGGAGCTGACCCTGAAGGGCATCACCCAGTTCTACGCCTATGTGACGGAGCGCCAGAAGGTCCACTGCCTCAACACGCTCTTCTCCAGGGTAACGCCGCCGGCCCGCCAAAGACCCGCGCCGTGGCTTGAAGAACCGGGTCGAGCTCTGACGGGTCTGCTCTCTGTTCTGGTTGCAGCTGCAGATCAACCAGTCCATCATCTTCTGTAACTCCACCCAGCGGGTGGAGCTGCTGGCCAAGAAGATCACGCAGCTGGGATACTCCTGCTTCTACATCCACGCCAAGATGATGCAGGTCCTGACCCTGGTTCTGGTCCCGGTCCAGTTCGTCTGGGTCTCTGTTTTGACAGACTCCTGTTTGTTTTCAGGAGTACCGGAACCGCGTGTTCCATGACTTCAGGAACGGGCTCTGCAGGAACCTGGTCTGCACCGGTGAGTCTTCACTTCCACCTGGAATCCTTGAAATCCTTGAAATGTTTTTCTTTTTCAAGGTTTGGAAACATCCAAACAACACAGTTTGGCAGTAAAGTGAAATTTATAGTTTGATTAAAAGCCTAAATTTGTTTAAAACATATTTTCATTCAGTAAATATATTTTCTCTCCATCTGAAGTTGAATCAGATGAAAACTTTATTTTGATCGACTAGAATCACCAAAACGATTTCTGCATTTAAGCTGAAGGTCGTTTACCTTAACATTTGTTTGGCTTATTTCTGTGTGATGAATATTTATTATGACTTATTGATGACCTTTTAAAACGTTACTGCAATGGGTGATTTTCCCTTCTGACTCCATATGGTGCTGGAGACGTTTAGAAATATTACATTTTGTTACATTTTATTTACTTTGTCTCTGCTGTACGACGTAAACTACCACAAAAAATTAACAGTGATAAAAATCCTATAACTACTTGAAATTATGTATTTTTAGTTGTATTCTTTTATCCACAATGTGCGGCGCTTATCTTGAAAATGTTAGAATTTTACATCTGCAGGCAGCAGATTTAATTTAATTTAATGTATTTTTTGCTCGTCTTTGGAAACGTTTTTGTTTTGGTTCCTTCCTGCTGCAGATCTCTTCACCAGAGGAATCGACATCCAGGCTGTGAACGTCGTCATCAACTTTGATTTCCCTAAAAATGCAGAAACGTACCTCCATCGCATCGGGAGGTCAGGTGGGTCGACGGGTCCGAAAACGATACAGAACCTTTTAGTTTTTACATGGAGTCGTTATCGGATGCATCATTTTTTATTTCACTTAATTTTCTCAGCTAATTGACCAGAACCAGTAATTATTTGGATTTATTTTTCTGGTCTTCAGGTTGGAAACTATAAACTGGAAACATTAATTTCAACTTCCATAAAAAATGTATTCATTCTGTAGCTAAAAACATGAATAAAAATTGTTTCTATAAAAAATTTAACATTGATTAAAAAGGGTTATTTTTTTTATTAGGTTTTTAAAAATAAAATATGTGAACAAATGGTTTATTTTAGATAAAATTATATAAATAAATATAAAAATTTTCAGATTTGTATGTTTTATTTAAAGTGGTAAATTAAAGATAAATTCATATTGTTTTTATTTTTTGGATTGATTTTAAATAAGATTTAAAAATCGTCTTTAGTTTTCAGGATTTTTATTTTTAGATTCTTTTTTAAAAAGTATATAAATGTTAATGTCTTTTACTTTTTGACTTTTTAAAATTTTAATAAATAAAATGTATAAATATATTTTTTATACTTTTTAAAAATATAAGGAAACGTTAGCGACCCTCCGCTGGGCGGCGCTGTGCCGTTAATCCTCTGTTTCCATGGTAACCAGGGCGGTTCGGCCACCTGGGCCTGGCCATCAACCTGATCACCTCGGAGGACCGCTTCAACCTGAAGGCCATCGAGGAGCAGCTGGTGACCGACATCAAGCCCATCCCCAGCAGCATCGACAAGAGCCTCTACGTGGCCGAGTACCACTCCGGGCCCGTCACCGACGGCGACGAGGCGGAGGAGAAGCCGCCGCGCCAGCAGGACAGCACCTAAAACAGGTGGCTGACGGTTTCCACTTCCTGTTCTGTACTTCCTGTTCCCGCTGCAGCAGTCTGGTGTCTCCTCGCCGTCCTAACCGGAGTGTTTTCTCCTCCGCAGAGCATCGTGACACTCCGGGCTTCACCAGACATCTTTGCTCCACGCTACTCTTCATCATCTTCCTCCTCATCCCTCGCTTCCAGAACCTTCCGGCTGGTTCCTCACAGTTCTGCTTGTTGTTCTGCACCGGCTCCAAACTGGACTCCAAACCGGGCCGTGCACGCCCGCCGCCCCCTCACCCGCCCCCCGATGCCGCCGCCGTTCTCACTTAAGTGCCTTACTTCCTCCCTGGCGCACGCTCCCCCCCCGTCCTGCTGCAGCAGCAGAGCACAAGCAGCAACCCGTCGCAGCGCCCGTTATGCAACAAACCCACAACCCGCCACCTGGTCCTGCCCGGACGCCGCTCTCCGAGGTGTCGCAATAAAAAAATGGCAGCTTTCTTTAAACGCAGCGCGACTTTTCTCCTCATGAATCATAAGAACGAGCAGAAGCGCAGAAACTTCCTGCGTGGATCTGACGGCATGCACGGGGAAAAAACGGGAGCAGCTCCTGTTTTAACTGTGAACTGCTGCAGCAGAAACCTCCGATCCGCTCTCAGTCGACCCGGAAGTCGTTCCGAACGGGTCCGGCCGGCGCCGGTGCAGAACAGCAGCTGAAACTTCCCGTCCCGTTTAGTTTTCCTTCTGGTTTTCAGCTGAGATGCGTCGGAAGCCCGGACGTGTCGCGCGTAGTTGAATGTATTAGATGCCAATGTTTGTTCTGCAGCCCGGACCGGGCTCCTCCAGTCCGGTTCTGAGCCCAGGCCCGGATAACGCCGCAGTTTGTTGCAGTGAATCTGAAGAACGTTTGGTTCTGATTGGATCTCCGTGTAAATTTGAAGCCAAACTTGAGTTTTTCCAGTTTTCCACCAGAACCAAACTGCGGCGTTATCCGTGAACTGGACTCGGCTTTGAGCCCAGAAACTTCTGAACATTTCTGTTTGTTCTTTTTTTTTTTTTGCTGCTGAGTGAAACTGGTTCAGGTTTTCTTTTCCTGACGGACCAGGGAGCGAAGAAACCAGCTCCAGCTCTACCGGACCACGCTAGACGGGTTTCCCCTTCTTGGAGCAGCACGAACTTTTCCTTTCCTGCTCGAATCCGGTTTCTTTGTTTCGGAACAATGTGAGGTTTAGTTTGGACTCGGCAGGATTGTAGCATCTCTGAACAGGCAGCTGGGGTTTCTTTCTGTCCTCCCCTTACAGAGCATCACTAATGATTTAAAAAAAAACATAAAAAAATATTTTTTTTGCTTTTAAGATAATTTTTTTGTTGCTTTCGCTGGTTCTGATGGGAGCCGGATTTTTCCCAGAAACCAAGTGTTTAATCGGAAGCTCGCCGCGCATCTTCAGGCTCCTCTCTGGTACTTAAATCAGGACTCGAATCGTTGATCTGAAATAATTTTTACACCAAAACGTTTTTGTTTTAAGTGCCGGCCAGAGCGCGGAGTCGGACCAGAGCGGTTCTGGAAAGATCTGCAACGGTTTTCCGTGTTCTGAGGTGTTACAAATCAAACGGGGAAACCACGAACTTCGTTTCCAGTTTCCGATTAAAACCAGAAAATGTTTGGCTTCATCGGAGGAGGAGGAGGAGGTTTTAGTTTTTTTGTTTTCTTGAAACTGATTTTCAGGATTGAAGCAAAACCAAAAAAAGTGAATGAGAGTCAGAGGTGGGAGTGTTTAAAGTGTGTGTGTGTGTGTGTGTGTGTCTCTGTGTGTGTGTCTCTGTGAGTGTGTGTGTGTGTGTGTGTGTGCGCGCGCAGCGGATGGGAATTGCCACATGCAGTTTCTGCTGAGCCGGGAACAAAATCGGAACGACGAAAAAAACGTGAAGCTGCATGTCGGCGATTCCGTTTGTTTTATCGGATGTCTGATCAAACATCGGATTTGACGTCGGATCAGACGCGTTGTCGTCAGGGATGTGATCTTTGTTGAGTTTTCCGATCTGCCACCTCCTCCAGAGAAACAGTTTTTTTGACGAGATATTTTCCTTTTTATCTTTTTTTTTCTGATCACATCCCTGCCGATCAATCAATCATCATTATCTCCTCTGGGATCCAGGTCTAGGATCCAAACTCTCTGCTTTATTCCGATTTAACGTAATTTCCAGAAGCTCTGCTAAATATTCCTGCTCAAAGGGGAATTCTGGACCATAAAGCGATCTTTCTCAATCCCTGGAGCTTTAAAAAGATCCGTTTGTTTTCGTGGGATTGGGAACCAGAGGAGGTCATGATGTTCGTTTTGTCTGTCGACTCGTTTTGTGTTTTTGTGTCGGAGTGCCGACAGGGGGGTGGGAGGGAATCTGGGATAAAACTAAATACAGAACTGGAACCGGGTCCATGCGAATTCCTAAAGGAGGAAAATGAACCAAACTAAAACTTTTGACTCCATGATGTGGATTTCTCTAAAGCGAAGTTAAATTGGATTTCCAGACTTGCTGCACTGATTTAAACTCACCTGCTGCTGGAGGCTTCATGATTGGAAAACGGCCTCCAGCTTTTCCTTCATTTAGGACTTTTTGCTCAGGAAGTCGGTTTGTTTTCCTCCAAAAAAAAAATGTAAAAGTTTGATTGGATAAAGTAGAAAACTGTAATTTTGTTAATTTTGACTTGACCAATCTGCCCTCTACTGGTGTAACATGGAAGAACATGCAGAGACTTCAAAATTCAATAAATTGGCCTGAACATTATTTTGTCCTGTTTGGTTTTTATTGCAAAAATTTTAATAAGGAGCTCTACGTTGAGATTATGAATGAAATTAATTTAACTGTTTATATCTTGTTGCATCTGTTGAAGGTTTTCAGAACTGTTCTTTAACAGTTTGGTTCATAAATCCATCCAACCATTTTGTCTTAATCTGGGTCATATGGATGCCATTTCTACGCACTTTACTGCATCTTTCATCCACACAAAGTTAACATTTTATTGTGTTACATTCGTATCCAGTTTTGTCAGTAACAAATGAAATACACCAAGGAGAACCTCCGTCACCAGCAGTTTGATCCTTCGGAGGTTTTCCTGCCGCCATTCCCTCCTTCTAGCTGTTTCTTTCTCCAATTTGACTCGCACCGCCGAATTTCAGCCCGTCCAATCAGAAAGCTCAGCTCCTACTGCGTCAAGGGGTCTTTGCTACGCTGAGCCAATAGAATTCGAGCATGACAAGCTACACTCAGTTTGAGCTCTCAGTAGCGCCGCCATGTTGTGAGGGGCAGAGTTGTCTGTAACTGGTGATTAAACGGAAGAAACGAGCTTCTCAGGGGTTCATGGCCATCTGTAAACCACACCGCGTTTCTTACTGAAGGACGAAAATTACGGACAGCTGTTTGGACTAATCATAATTGCATTTGTGCGTCACACCCACTTTTTCTGGCGTTGTGGACTGGACTTTTGGCCGCATCCTCCGCTGGAAACCTCAATGTGAGTGAAAAAAAATTAGTTTTTTCTCTGAGCTGCAGCTTGACTCGTTTAGCTGAGGTTTGCTCTAAGTGCCCGGTCATTCAGGCTTTACCTGCAGCTGAATCTGATTCTCCACCTGTAAACTCCACCAGAAGCCGGGTCATGGGTTCGGATGAGCCATCCGAACCGGGTCATGGGTTCGGATGGGCCGCTGTCTGAGGGACAGTGAATCTTTATACCTGAGATGATGATTCACCTGTCCCACTTCTCTGAGCTTCAGCTACTAATGACTAATGCTGCAATTAATGACTATCCTATCAATTATTCTGGCGATTAATCGTAGGACTTTTGCAATAAGCATATAAATTAATCCATGATCAATTAAAACAAGCTCAGTAATTTCCATTTGCATGATTTAGTTTTTTCTCCCCCCTCCTTTTCTACCAAAAGCTAGATTAAAAGTCTTGAGTCTGGTGTTTTGGTCTCAACTACATTTTTTGGGAAGGACAATTTTGTTTACAAAAACTCCATAATTCATTTTATTTGTTTATTTATTTGGGGTATTTAAAATGTCTTCCAGTTCCTGTGTTGAATTTGAAGTTTATTGATATTTGAGAATATGTTCTACCATTAGATCACCATAAAATGGTCTCAAAGCAGCAACATTATCGTTTATCGTGATTACTTCTGAGACAGTTTATCATCCAGCAGCATTTGGCATCATGATGTTTGGATCTCAAAGATCAATTATCTTTAATTTTGTAAAACATTAAATTCTGAACTTGAACTTATTTTAAATATATAAAATAAAACAACCAAACATTGAAACAATTGAAACCATGGATAAAAATTGATTCTAAAGTCTCTGCAAATAAAATTGCCCTTTCAAAAAATATTAATCATAAAATAAATTATTAAGCTCATTTTAATTGATTATTGCCACAGACTTGTTTGCTTTTCATGATTGTTAAAATTTCTGTCCTGGTTCCTATGTTTGTCTTCACTCCCCGTATTGGACCTCTGAACCTTTCCACTCCTCATTGCTGTGCACTGCTGACCAGCTGGCTGAAAGAAGCAACGCATTTTGTGCCAAGTTATTTTTCAAACCCAACTGTTCCTTTCTGTCTGTAAGGTAACCCAGATCCTGTTCTGGGTTGTTATGGTCTTTCTCTCCTCCTCCCAGGATGGGCAGCGTTTTAGCCGCCCCGCCGCCACCGGCTGCCTCCCCGGCGCCGCTGCTGCCTAGAGGCTTCGGGTTGCTTCTGTTCCCTCCTCCTCCTGCGACCGGATCCAGACCGCAGCGGGAGGCGAAGAACGTTCTGCCCAACCCCGGAGAGTTTGAGCAGTGTCACCAAAAATGTAAAGGTAACGGAAGCGGCGCGTCTGAAGACGCTGCGCTGCGGCTGGAGGTAACCTGAAGCTTTTCTCCTCAGAGGTTTTCCCGACGCAGGTGAACGGAGTCCGACTCGTCCTGAACAAGACGCTGAGCAAACACTTCCAGGTCCGTTTGAGCTTAGAACGGCAAGGGAACGCATGTCAGCTCTCAAAAGATAATCGGATTTTAACAATCCAATAATTGATAATAATCAATTTAGAAATCAATTAACCATTAACTGGAGAATAGATACTCCAATAAAGGTCAATTACTGGAAGAACAACATATTCAGAGCAGCAATTAAGCCAAAAATGTACAAAAAAACAAACATTTTGCGTTTAAGATGAATAACAAACAAATGTGTGTACCCACAACTTTACGTGGGAGTTTTAGCAAAAGTCTGTTGAAAAAATAAAAGAAAGAATAAAGATCAGTTTTCTAACAAAGTGTAATCTAACGTTTGATTACAAGCCTAAATCTGAACATCAACTCCAGTTGATAAAAGGATTTTATTTTTTCTGTCTTGAGTTAAATGAGCTTTTCTTGCTTCAGGTCTGTTACAATTTTCCAGATTTTTTCTATTTGCTAAATGACAAATATTTTTTTATTTTCAATGTCTGTAATCTAAATAAAGTTTGGCTTATATTTTATATAATAAATAAAATGAAATTGTGAGATTTTTTGTTAAATCTGTGTTTCGTTCTTGCACCAGTCAGGTGTGTGAGAGAACTTTCAAAACATTTAAAACGTTTCATCGTTTTTATCTCCAAAGTGCTGGAGCAGCGTGAAAACTTTCCCTGAAGCGTGTCTGAACCGCGTTGAGGCCAGAAACTGTTTGTTTTCTCTTGGTTACATCCAGACTCCAGGCTTTAATCGCCCGTTTTGTCCTTCCAGGTGAATCATTCTCTGCAGCTCAGCTCCACAGAAGACTCCGGCTACAAGTTCGGAACGATGTTCGTCGGATCCGGTCAGGCCGGTCCTGCTGAGGTACGCGGCGGTAAAACCCGACTCCTGTCTCGCGTTTGGGTTCTGAACTGGATGTGAGTCGTCGTTTCTCCGGTTCAGTTCTACCCAGTCCTGGTGGGCGACGTGGACGGCAGCGGCAGCCTGAACGCTCAGGTCATCCATCAGGTCACCGACAGGATCCGGTCCAAAGTGGCCTTCCAGGTGAGCAGAACCGCTCCGCTTCGCCGTGGTTCTGGTTTTCTCTCCAGCTGCTGATGGAGTAAATCTGTCGTCAGACCCACCAGCAGACGTTCGTGACCTGGAAGGCCGACGCCGAGTTCAGGGGCGAGGATTTCACGGCGGCGGTCGCCTTCACCAACCCAGACGTCCTCGACGATTCTGGTACCAGGTTCTGCTCGAGATGGCAGGATGGGACAGACTTCTTCCCTCCACTGCGTTCTGAACTATCCATTAGCATTTAGATAGCATCTTATGGTTGCCATGGAGATGGGGTTGGACAATAAATCAATAACGATGCATATATTTAATAATTTCACTGAACTAGGAGATGTAGGCAGAGGAAAGACTTTAGCCGCTCACCGCTAACGGTTAGCTAGGCTAACTGGGTGGCTTCGACTAACTCACTCGCTCTTTGGTTGCCTAGCAACAACCTACTGGGTAACAGGCAGTTTCAAGTTCCTCCCCCCAACTTTGGTTGCCTAGCAACAGCTGCACAGCAGCAGTTTCGGGTTTGCCTCATAACTGCTAAAGAAATTTAAAAACAACGGCGTGAAGTGAGAACTGGATAAAACAGAACAGGTTTTACAGCATTTCAGATATTTAAAACAAGAACTAATCAATAATTATTGACCTCCACTGATATGAAAGGATTATGTTGTGATAGTTTCATCGTCCAGCACTGCATGGTTTAAACCGTTTACACCAAAAGATGTTTCCTTGTAGCCATTTTCTGATTTATGATGATGTACTTCCTCCTTACCTGATGGGCATGTTCTCTCATCATCAGGGGTCGTCGTCACACACTACCTCCAGTCCGTAACGCCGACTCTGGCTATGGGAGGACAGCTGGTGTACCAGCGTCGGCCCGGAGACGAGGCGACCTTTATGTCGCTAGTGGGCAGGTACACAGGTAAGGCTAAATTATTAGCTTAGCATATTTCAGCAACGAGGCAGTTCAAAGAGCCATGACAGAATAAGGAAGAGCTAAAGTGCTAATTTCAACCATGTTGATACCGGTGATGAGAAAATTTATAAAAATATCTTAAATAAAAAAGAAAAACTGTCATGGTTTTCTCCATTTATTTCAAAAATATCTAAAGCACTAAATAAAAACTAGCTCATCTGCTAATAGCACATGGAAGTGATAGAGAACTGCAACCTGAATGAAAAGAAGATAAAAATAAAATACACCAAAAAAATGATAATGGAATGGTTAAAAACAATATAATTTCCTTTTTCAGTTGGGTAAAACAAAATGAAAGTGAAAAATTAGCTCTGCTGTTAGCGCGCTAGCGGACGTCTTCCCTTACTCATCCTGCTACTCGTTGTTCTACTGGCACCATGAGGGTTAAAAAGGACTGAACCCTGGGAACCCTCACCTGTCCGCTCCATGGAGAAGTTCCCCGTTCATGTAAACAAGTCCCAGTTCTTTAGGTCAGACTGGAACCAGTCCAGTACTGGGCCAGATCCGTTTCCTGTTTACGTCTCTCTCTACAGGAAGTAACTTTGTCGGCGCGCTGACCCTCGGCTGGGCCGGAGTTCAAGCGTCTTACTACCACAGAGCCAGCGATCAGGTGACCTCTGACCCCGTGGCGTTGCCGTCCACGTTGGGCTCCTCCTGAACGTCTCTGTTTGTGCAGCTGCAGCTCGGCGTGGAGCTGGAGGCCGGATCCTTCTGGCAGGACAGCAGCGTGACGTTCGGCTACCAGCTGGATGTTCCCAAAGCCAGCCTGCAGTTCAAAGGTCAGCGAGCTTCACCTACCTGCTGATGCTCAAGTTTCTGTTATTTCAGTTAAAAATCGGCATAAAATAACAAATCTGTTGTAAAATAAAGAAGTTGCATGATAAACTGGAGGAGTTTGTTTTGATGCTTCTTCTTCTGGGTTTTGCCTCCAGGTGTGATCAGCAGCAACTGGGTCGTCGGAGCGACGCTGGAGAAGAAGCTCCTCCCCCTTCCTCTCTCCCTGGTGCTCTGCTCCTTCCTGAACCACCAGAAGAACAAATTCCACTGCGGCTTTGGTGTGATGATCCGCTAGCGCCTCCTCTGGCGCCCCCTGCCCCTCTGCCTGATTACTGCATCCAGCTGTTGGTGGTTCAGGGTAAAATTCAGCAGAGACTTCCTGTTCTGAGTCTTACTCCTGGTTTTTGGTTGTTTTTAATGGAAGCCTTCTTTTGTTATTCAGTAAATATAAACCCATGTGGTTCAAAGCTGTAGAATCAGCCATTTGGTAAGTTACACTGTAAAAAATTAGCAGCAATATTTTGGGTTATTTAATCATAAGAGGAAAAACTGTGTTCATTTTCCAGAGTCAGATTTTCTTCATCTTATTTATACATTAGAAATGTTACAGTTCCAAACTAAATATGTAGTTGGGAAGCTAAATATCTGATTTGTAAACTGAATATTTAGATTCAAAGTATTCAGGTTCAAATTATTTATTTTCCAAATGAAATTATCTTGGACCTAAATATTTAGTTTGCAAAGTACACTAAATAGCTTAAACAGCAGCTATTTAAGTTAGCAGGCTAACTAGCATTTAGCTTGCTTGCCAAATAATTGGTTACCATGCTAAATATTTAGTTAGTGAACTAAATATTACTGTGACTTCACCAACGGCTGAGCTGCTTGTTCTCCGTCCTGATTGGTTCTGTTGCCTTTTTATTGCTGCTTCTGTTTAAACCTGAACGGATGAGATAGAAAGACCATAAAATAAAATGTCTTATAAATTATTCTGTCTCTGTATCCTTCAGTCGGTTCTGGTCCAATTCTGCTGAAGTTTTAAAATATTCAAATTGATCCAAGTTTGATTCACTCCATTAAGAGAATTATTTCAAACATGTTTACTCGGAAAGTTTAACACCCAAAATATTTTAGTTTTGTTCTTTTCAACTGCACTTTTATCAGATTGACATGAAATCATGTGAACTGAAGAAAAAACATAATTTAATATAGATTTTAAAATATTTAAAATGAATTTAAAACAGTGGTGCATTCTGCATGTTTTAGTTCTTTCCCTGGTGGAAACAACCTTTTGAGCAGGTCAATGTTTCTAGTAGGCCTCTAATAAGTCAGTAGTTTTTAACATAATCTGAAAAGTGTGGTGTGCATTTATATTCAGTCTCTTGTGTTATCTCAAGGTACTTGACAAAAAAACATTTCAATTCAATTAATTGAAATGATTGAATAAGAACAATTTATAATTGAATAAGAAGAATGTCTAAAAGAATAGGAAGCAGAAACAAAAATGTTTGAGGATTCATCTTTATTTTGGTAAATTTAAAGATTAGAAGATGAAGTTAAGTGCAGAAGGTTATTAAATAAAGAGCTGTGGCTGAAGCCAGAATAAATACGCATGGACAGTCAGTTTACTGGGTCTTCTGGGTGAAGGCGTCCCACAGGGCGGTGAGCTGGGCCTGCAGGTCCTGAGCGCCGGCGTCCAGCTTGGCCCGCAGCACCTCGCCGTTCTGAACCAGGCTCTGCTGGAGCTCCTGGGCCTTCTGGGTCACCTGCGTCTCGAAGCTCTGCGCCAGAGGAACGACGCTCTGCTGGAAGTCCTCCAGGCTACGCTCCATCTTCCCCCTCAGCTGGTCGCCGTAGGGCCCCATCTGGGCCTGCAGCTGGGCGGCGCCGGCCTCCAGCTGGGCCCGCAGCTCCTGGCTCTTCTGCAGCAGCACGGCCTTCAGCGCCTCTCCGTCCACCGCCTCGGCGTACGGCGTCGCCTCCCGCTTCAGCTCCTCCACCTGCGCCTGCAGCTTGGCCACCAGCTGCTCGCCGTACGGCCGGATGTTTGACTCCAGGGCCGCCATGTCGCCCTCCAGCCGGGCCTTCAGCTGCTCCGCCTCCTGGCTGAACCTGGTCAGGAAATCCTGGGTCAGGGGCGCGGCCTGGGTCCGCAGCGACGCCACATACTGGTTCACCGTGTCGGCGCTCTGGGAGATCTTTGCACTGGGAACAAGAGGAAAAAAAAGCGCTTCAGAAATCTGTCTGCCTGGATCAAACTGAAACCTGAGAAATGTATCGATTAATCTATTAATGAATTAATCACATGAGAAGTTTCATTTTGATATAATTGAAGGGAAATTCTTTTTACAGAGACCTCATAATCCGTTTTATTTTATGACAGTATTAGGGCCAGGCTAAGAAAAAAATAGTCATAAATCTGAGAATAAAGTCGTATAGGAGAAAAAAGTTTATGGTATTACAGGAATAAAGACGTATTTCAACAGTAATGATGTGAGAGCAAAGTTGTACAAGAAAAAAGAAGTAGCATTGCCAGGATGAAGTCGTAATATGAGAATAATATTACGACTTAATCTCAAAATTAATCTCATTCTGAGATTAATGTCAGAATTTTTTTAGTAAAACACTTCAGAGCTCTATAAGTTGAAAAATTTGTTCAAAAAAATTCAGAAATTTTTTAATCTCAAGAAATGTCTTGAAAAAAATTTGAGAATTTCTAAGTTTCCAACTTGAACATTTTCAAGATTTCTTTTAGAAAATTTCTGAGATTAATCTCAAAATTTCTGAGTACATTTTTTTCTATCAATGACCTAAATGCACCTAGTAAGCTCCAAAGTTTAGTGCTCTTTATAAAATTAAAGCTTATTTATCTTTTAGATGATAATTTTGCATTATTATCAGTATATTACCTGAAAATGATCTCAAAATAATAATATTATCGTTTATTGTAATAGTTTACGTATCGCGTCAGGCCTGGCTCTTACTTCACTTCCTGTCCCAGGTCGGAGTTCCGGATCTGCTGCAGGGAGTCCTCGGCGGTCTGCGTTGCCTTGGCAACGTAGTCCCAGAAAGCGGCCTTCACCACCTCCATGTTGCTCTTCGGAGGCTCCTGCCACAGGATGTTGGCATTGCAAACTGCGGACGAAACGTCACGTCAGCATCCCGATGCCGATCGGCTTAAATCGGTTCAAACCGTCAAGATCCGCTCACCTGAGATCAGAACCAGAACCACGAGGATCTTCATGTTTGAGCCTTTTGGGTTTCACCTGTCAGAGGCAGCAGGGTTCTCCTCCAGCGTCGGGTCGGTGTGCTCTGCCCCGGCGGTCCGATCGGGGTTTTATAGCCCCCGGCTGGAGGGCAAAGTCCCGCCGCAGGTGCCCCGTTGGACGCATTCCTGTCACTGCTGTCATTCCACATCACAATGCGGGATCACGCACCGGATTACCGGCGGGGAATCCCGACTGCCGGTCCGGTTCCAGCCTGTTTCCAGCTGCTTCCGAGAAAAAAACACAATTAACCAAATAAGAACTCAGAAACAACACTGTTTTAGTTTATTATATCATTAAAAATGTCTCGAGAGAAGATATAGCAGTAAACCAACTGTTCACTCTACTAGGCTCACCTGACAATAAAGCAGCCAATCAAATGGCAGCAGCTCCAGGCCTCCAAAGTGACGACTGCTGAGGTTTTGAGTACGAAATGAAGAAAGTATGTTCTGTAAGGTTTCCATTAGTTTTTGTAGGGTTTTATGAAAATGCTGTAATACAGAATCCATTATAAAATATGCTATATAATTTTTATTTAGTACAAAATTACACAGTAAAAAAGTTCTATACCAGGAATGTGTGACCTTTATACTTGGAGCAGCTAAAAATGATTTAGGTCCACATTACCTTAAAAAAAAGACAACTTCTCATAAATTTATATGAATATCTATAGTGATTTAGAAAGAGCCATCATTTTATTTCTACTTTTAGGTTCATTAAGACAACATGTTTGGGGAAAAGATATTGGTGGGAATGATCTATAAAAAGTATTTTTGAAGAAAAATAGCATGTTTTCACAAATCAAAAGTCTGAATGTTGTTATATCTATTTTTAAAAAACATGTTTTAGTTTTTATCTTATCAGTGAACCACACGTTTTTGAAGTTGTGGTTGTTTGACCCTGTGTGTCGAGTTCAATCTATAACAGCAGGGATCAGTCTATAAGTTTGGGTTAAAAACAAGAAGGAAAGTCAATATTGTTCATTATTTCAGTTTGAAAGAAACAAATTTATTCACTCAGACTCACATGATGTGGTAATAACTAGTCAGGGACTCAAGTAAAATGTTTAATCAAGTAAATTGCAGCATCTGTTATCACTTTTTAATTGAAAATCCTTTATCAACAAAATAAACAACATTCCAACTCTAAAAACATTTTCTGCTGCGAAATTATTGAATAAATAAACACATGAAGTCACAAACAAATATACTTATAGTTTTTAATCTGTTATTGATCTTTAACCATCAGATTGGAGCAAAGTCACGGAGCCTCTTTAGAAAGGTGGACTGTGGACCCTGACATTAGCATTAGCAACATGTTTAGCATTGGATGCTATTTTGGGCTAGCACAGCTTCGCTGGTAGGCTAACTCCTTCTAGAACAAGTTGAACTCATCAATAATCTTTCCCAGCGTCCAATCAGATCGTTTAGAAGCAGAAATTAAACCTAGTGGGCCGAGAGAAACCACTTTGTCGTCCATCGCTATGGTGTGTCACATTTATGGGTGTACCAGAAACGCACAAATACAAAGGTTCCGGCCAGAACAAAAAGAGAAAAAAAATATATACATATATTTATTAGTTGTTCAAATCTATGTAATTAATAAATTAATCAAATTAATGTGTTTATGTCCGCTTCGATGAGTTTGAATTTCAGGTGCAACATTTACTGCTCTAATCTGAGCCATGGGTTCATCTTCCTTTGTAGCTGGTTCAGGTCGGTGGTGGCAGTATCATGCTGTGGGAGACCACAGCCTACCTGAGTATTTATGCGAACCATCTCTAGCTTCTGACGGAGCAGAATAAACTCCAGCCAACATGGATCTCATTATGCTTCGCTCTGCAATATCAGTTTTATTCCTGACGTGTTTGTTGATTTTCTGCAGAAACAAACCGGATCTTCTTCACTCCTCTTAAAGCTCCTTTGGGATAAAAATGACTTCACCTATTAGAAAACATGTAAACATTGATGAACAATAACTCCTACAGTCAGACTTTAACCCCAATGTTTCCTGAAAACCTCTAAAAAGACGTTACATTACTTGTCTTTATGAACGTTAAGGCCATTCGTTTGTGACTCAGATTTCTTTGGGTTTCTTCAAGGTTCTTCTGTGGACGTCAGACAGAAACAAGTTTATCAGCAGTTTTCTTTTCCTCCGAGGGAAACTTATCAGCCGGTTGGGTTGTGTCGGGACACGCAGCGCTCTCCAGCACAGATTGTCACGGATCAAAGTCCGACTTACATCTCCATGACCCACAATCCCTCTGGGAACAGGAACGATCACGGCCGATTACCCGGGTCTGGATCAGAACAAACTACTTTTATCTGCTGAAGGTTTTGAGAGTGAAGCTGATAAATCTGTTCATCGGTCGCTCTTGGTGCCGTTGAAGCCTGGGAATTTATTTATGTATTTAGTTTTCTGTCCTGTTTGTCCCTCAAGTCAGAAAACTAAACTCATCTATTAGGATGATTCTTCACACTCAGAGGGAAATAAGCTGTTATTCTCTGCAGGCCTGATTATTCTGAATGGAAACCAACATCATGTGTCAGAAGATCAGAATGTTACATCAGATCAATAAAAATTATATTTTAATTGGAAAAGCTTCTGGAAACTATGTCCACTTTTAAACCCTCAGTTCTTGGTCTGGGCTCCTTTTGCATGAACTTCTGAGGTTCTGCTGAGGTTCTGGAAGTCCAGTTTGCTTTGAACCTTCAGGTCACACCTTGTCTCTACATTTAAAATCACCAAGATAGAGAAGGAAGAAGGTTAAATCAACAAAATAAAAGCCTTCATATTTCCCACAGCAGATGATTCTGGCTTTAGCCTTTACATTCCTGGTTTAACCGAACCACTGCTACATGAGATTAGTTTGGCCTTTTAAAGCTTACAGAAAATATCAAAGTAAAAGTCTCAGTTTTTTAACTTTCTTTACACATTTAAAGCTCCTGAAAGCAAGCATCGGGACGCTGCGACTGGAAAGTCAGCTCCACATGACTAACATGCTACTGATACTCCATGTTTTAGTGGAAGCACTTAGCGAACATTAGCATTTTAGCTGACGGAGTACGTCATTGTAGTCAACATGCTACTAAGAGCCTCCATGCTAATTTTAACATTTTCACTGACGTTAGCATTTTAGTTGATATTGATACGAAAGCTCAACTTAACCTACTGAATGGAGTAAGTCAAAATTAGGCAATACGTTGTGAATAGTACACATGCCATTTGTAGCATTTAAGCCAATGTTAGCATTTTAGCTAGCTTTATGCATAAAAGCAGGAGTAAGTATCTTTTATAAAAATGTGTGTTAAAACTGTCACCATGTTGTGACAGTTTGAGACAGATAATCTGTCAAAAGGTCGATCTCCTGGAGCTGCTCTTACCGTCTGAAGGAATGCGCCACTCCTGACTGACCAATCAGAGCCAGAAGGAGGGTCTTAGCGCTGTCAATCATGCTTCTGTGAATATGTTTAAAAAGGTTTTTTTAAATAAAAATTACATACTGTAAATTTAATGCTTACATGCTGAATGGAGTCAGTAAATGTTAGTCAACATGCCATGGGTAGCTCACATACTAACAGTAGCATCTAAGCTAACATTAGCGTCCTTCTGAACATGAACACCATTTGGACATTTTAATGACATGGAACTGAAATACGACAGACACAACCTGCAAATCTTTTGTTTTAGACTCTTTAGGCTTTAATGCTCCAATCTGAGGCCCGGTAGACCTGACTCAACCTCACAACCTTTTAAATATCTCTGAATTTTTCTATTTATAATTAAAACACTTTGTTGATGCCAAAAGGAAATTAAATGTTGTTGTTTCTCAAATTAATTAAAATTCTTCAGAGTTGTTTAGATGTTGTTGGGAGGAAAGATCTCTTGAATGGCCTGTATTACAATGACTTTGAAGAGACCTCAAAACATTATGATCTACTTTGTGTTGCTCTATGTCACAAAGTCTCAGATAAACACTGAAGTTTGTGGTTATTCTGGGATAAAACAAATATCTCCATAAACTGTCACTGGGCAAATTATCACCTTCAACAGAAACTCTGTAGTTTAGTTATGTTATGTATAACTTATATCACTAGTTTTTAATTGTTATGTAGATGAGTAAAAGCTGACAGATTGATCCAAACATAGAAAATGTTCAGTTCTAGTGGAAGAAGCTCAAGGTTCTGACCCAAATAAAATAACTGGGCTGAATCACAAATAAGATTCGGAGAGGCAAACATGTAAAACAATAATGTTGATACTTTGGTGTATCTGCTGATAATTAATCATCAGTGTCATCACTGTGTCCTAATGAATAATATCAGTATTTAGTTCCTATTATCAGCTCTGTAAGCAGGACTTTCCTGGAGCGGTGGCAGCTCTGAGCTCAGCATCTCCTCCGTTCAGCTCTGCTGCCTATAAATACTGATGAAGACACCTTCAGCGTCCATCAGCCGGCTGACTGGCTGGACAGGTCGGACTCCAGCTCCTCAGCGTCTCTCCTCTGGATCAACCCGGATCTGAAAACGATAACTCTGGCTCTTTATCAAGGCAGCCATGAAGATCCTGGTCATCCTCGTTCTCGTCTTCCTCACAGGTCAGAAAATCTTGATGCTTTGGTGAAAATCTCAGAGGAAGAAGAAAACAAGGCTTTAAGCTGTGTTGTCTCTGCAGGTTGCAATGGTGGACAGCATGACCCTCCGTCCAAACACCAGGTAAAGATGGTGCAGGACGCTTTCTGGGACTATGTCCAGAAGTCAACGATGACCCCAAAGGACTATGTGTGGGACATCAGACAATCACATCCAGGACAGTATCTGTGGTAAGAGGAAACCTCCAAACTTTCTACATTAAAACTGGATAAATATTTAAAGGGAACATTCATCATTGCTGAAGCTATGGAAATCTAAACTTAAGAAAACAAACATATTTCAGTAGTCACAGTGTTTTATTTTTAGATATTTGGGTTATTATTTGTATGTATCATTAATAATCAATTTAAAAATGTTTTAATCTATAATTTAATTCTCAGCAACTATTTTATTCTTTTAAAATTCTATGTTCTTTTATTTATTTGTTTCATTAATTGTAGTTTTACATGTTTAATAACTATTATAATATTATTACTATTTATAAAAATAATAATCATATTGTTATAATAATAAAATGAAATAATAATGTTGTTATTATTAATAATATTAAGAACCGTTATATTTATATATTTCTACTGAGAAAAGCTGTTTCCTGTGTGAAGTTGTTGATCATATTTCTGTCTGTGGTTCTGCAGCTCCCTCATCTCTCACAGCGTCGAGGCCGTCCAGAGATTCTTCCGCCTCGTGTACGCTCAGATAGTCATGTGGAGCAGCCGCCTCTACCACAGGTTCTGCCAAGAGGTAGATCACCTGCAGCAACACCTCCACCACTTTCTGCACCATTTGGAAGATGACCAATTTTACCACGCCAAGGAGCTGGTGGCTCAAATCCGCTGGAAGATGGAGAGTATCAAGATGGTGGCAGCCCACTACATTGAAGCCCTGGACCCCCTAGGCCTGAAGATGGCGCTGCTGGAGAAGACCAAGGAGCTGAATGAGCATTTGAATAGGTGCTTTGAACTCCTGGAAACTCACCGTCATGAACACCACTGTGACCATCACCAACATCAAGGTCACCATCCTGGTCACCATCCTGGTCACCATCATGGTCACCATCCTGGCCACCATCCTGGTCACCATCCTGGTCACCATCCTGGTCACCATCATGGTCACCATCATGGTCAGCATCCTGGCCACCATCCTGGTCACAAACCTCCTGGTCACCATCCTGGTCACCATCCTGGTCACCATCATGGTCACAAACCTCCTGGTCACCATCCTGGTCACAAACCTCCTGGTCACCATCCTGGTCACCATCATGGTCACAAACCTCCTGGCCACCATCCTGGTCACCATCCTGGTCACCATCCTGGTCACAAACCTCCTGGTCACCATCCTGGTCACCATCATGGTCACAAACCTCCTGGCCACCATCCTGGTCACAAACCTCCTGGTCACCATCCTGGTCACCATCCTGGCAACCATCATGGTCACTATCAAGGTCACCATCATGGTCACAAACCTCCTGGCCACCATCATCCTACCGGTCACAGTGACCACGGCTGTGGACCTGAGACGAAGAAGAAAATAGATGAAAGCATGGAAGCCTTTAAGGCCAGCTTGTTCTCCCTGGTCAGTAAGTTTGAGGTGGAACTCGCCCAAACTACCAAAAAGATCAACAAGAAAATGGTTCCTCTAAGAAAAAAACACCATGGCCAGCTGATTAAAGACTCAGATCACCTGAAGGATGACCTGGAGAGTCTATGGCAAGACTGGTTACTCCTAAGTCAGCAAAAGGCCGACTGAATGGAGTCAAGTGGCTTCATCCAAGGGTCATTATCAACATAAACATAAGCATCTTGTTTTTACTTTTAATAACTAAAACATATTGATGGAGACATATTTTTTCAAGTCAGTATGATTTGTTTTGGTTTCTGTAAAATGTCTGTGGTATTTATTAATCAAAATATAAGACTGAAATACAGAAACTCTTGTTTTTTTTCTTAAACTATTTATTTAAAAGTTATTCAAGAGCAACTAAATTGTGCTTCTTCCTTTTGTTCTGAGAGATATGTAAGTTTGGCAATACTTGCATTCTCCCAAATATAGCTACAATAGAGCCTCCTATATTACAATAAAGTTAAGAAAAAAACAGTTTTATTCTCAAATAGCTAAAGAAATTCTAGGTAACGACGTTCTTCTCCCCATGATACATTCAGGTATGACAGCAGCAATAAAAAGCAGATAAAAACATGTTCATCACGCAGGTAATATACTGCTCTGCCAGAAATCTCTGTCTTCTCTGTGGATCCAATTGCTGATATTAACAAAAATCATTTGTTTTTTGTTCGTCTTTGCATTACTGGCTAATTGTGTCACATTTTAAACAGGTATTTTACAACACTGCCTGATGATTTCACAGGTAATCTATTTTTATTATTACTAACCTCAATGAGATGTTAATGCCTAAAAACTTTAGTCAAGGTTTATTGTTATGTCTGAATAATATTTATAAACAACTTTTTTATATAGCTAACAGTAACCAAGTTATTTTACTGGCTAACTCAGATAGCTAAGTAGCTATTTGACTTAGCTGGCTAACCTTAAATAAAATTGCTAATTTCAAGTTCTTTTTGGGAACCTTGAGAACTTTTAAAAAACAAACCAACAAGTAAATATCCAATTATGATCAAGTAAATGTCAAAAGCTACAGCTTTTCTTAACCAAAGACTTGCTATGGCTAATCTTTCCAGCAGCTAACATTATTGAGTTCTTCTATCCTTAAAAAGCCGTTTTAGTGGCTAAAGAAATAAATTATTTCTCATCAGTAATCTTAAGCGTTGTATTTCCGTCATATGTAAATAAATAAAATTAAGTTTGCAAATTAAAATTCCGACTTGATATAGCTAACTTTTCCAGTAGCTAACAATAACCTCCAGCCCTAGCCAAGCCGTTTTTGTACCTGAAACAACCAAATAATTTTCATATGTAACCGAATAAATTTATTTGATAGTTAGCCTTTCATATAATCCAGAGGCCGACATAAACACAGTTGTTTGTTTTTAGATTAGCCACTACAGCTAGGTTCGCTAGGTGGCTAATCAAAGCACAAACAATTTATAGCCACCACAAAGTATATCTTGGTTCAAATGGCTATTTTGAACCAAGTCAGTCTTTACCTTAAGTATTTTTTCAATTTTACATGTTATTAAACTGTAAGGAAATTTGGATGGAATCATCAGCAGTTAACAGAAGTGTTTGTATTTGGAAATGATTTAAGTGTGTTATTAGAACATCATAACCCAGAGATTTGTCTTGTAGGGTACTGGCCTACATTCCACAGTCATTTTAAATTTGTGTAGATTATCTATAGAAACAGCTGTTACAAAGGAAATTGATTAAATTTAGCCCTTAAAAATGCATAATGCAGTATTGGCACTGAGATCGTTTATTTTATTGAAAGAATATCAGACATTATAATAAATTAAACATTTTAACATTTGAATACCAAGCTGATATCAATCTCAGATGTGAAGCTGATCTAATAAATCCATTCAGTCCACCTTTTTCTGACTCTGTGCCCAGTCCTCCCACAGAGACGCCAGGTCGTCCTGCAGGCTGTCTGAAGCCTTATTCAGCTTCTCCCGTCTTCGACTACGTGGAACAATTTTCTTATTCAGGTCATAGGTAGTGTGGGTAAGTTTGGCCTCAAAGCGGACAACCAGGGAGAACAAGGTCACCCTAAAGTTTTGAAGACTGTCATACACCTTCTTCTTCAGGTTGGGATAATGTTGGTGGTCAAGGCGGTATCTGCGGTCATGGAGATGGTGACCAAATAGTTTGTACCAAAGATTATGAAGATAACGACGACGGTGATGATGGTGGTCATGAGGGCCTTTGCAGTCATGGGGGCCTTTGCAGTCGTGAGGGCCTTTGCAGTCATGGGGGCCTTTGCAGTCATGAGGGCCTTTGCAGTCGTGGGGGCCTTTGCAGTCATGAGGGCCTTTGCAGTCGTGGGGGCCTTTGCAGTCATGAGGGCCTTTGCAGTCGTGGGGGCCTTTGCAGTCATGAGGGCCTTTGCAGTCATGAGGGCCTTTGTGACCATGATTATGGTCACCATGAGGATGATGATGGTGGTGTACAAAGTAATTCTCCACATGGTGGTGCAGGTCTTGGATCTTCTGCACCAAGGCGACCTTCAGGCCTCCGGGGTCCAGGGCTTCAGCGTAGTGGGCGGCACACTTCTTGATGTCCTCCAACCTCCAACGGATGTGATCCACCAGCTCCTTGGCGTGGGAATGTGTCTCGGCTTCCAGATAGAGCAGAAAACGGTCCAGGTCGTGTTGCAGGTGATCTACCTCATGGCAGAACCTACTATAGAAGTCCTTGATCCACCAAACCATGTGAGTGTGCACATTATAGAGAAAGTTGGAGATGATTTCGAAGCTCTCTGCGATGAGGGAGCTGCAGAGACACAGACACAACCCTGATGAACACCTTGTTTCATGATCCAGTTCAACATTGATTCACTTCACTTTCATCAGATATCTTGTTTATGTAAATTCACCGTTCTGTTGAAACTGAACCAAAGAATTAAGTGAAGCCTTGACTGTGTTGAAGGAAGAAATCTGTTTTATTCAACAAGATGAACCTAGTCCAGAGAGAGGGAGAATGTGTTGCTAGTCGGAGCCAAGCAGGCATGTCAAGGTTATTTAGAAACATGCATATTACTAACTAACCTATGCTAGCATAGGCTAGGGTAGGTCTATGGGCTACACAAAACATGTTCATGATATTTTTTCCACAATATCCTTCTAAGATAATCATTTCTCAGTCTCCTCAATTCTACCAATTTTGAGCGGTTTTAGGGCCTCTGTCACTTTAAATCCATGCTGCTGCCACGCCCGCCAAACGGCCACGCCCATTTACACTCGAATGTGGTAAAACCAGCCAACTAAAGGTGCTTGAGCTCTGCTTGGGTTGCTAGGTAACGGGATGGGATTGTTGTGGTTGCTAGGCAACGGGGCAGTGCCTGCTGATTTGTGATATTACATTCTGAAGGATTTGGAAATGGCTCATTTTCCAGACACCAAAAAAACATGAACTTATTGCCAAAACACCATGTTGGTGTTATTTAAGCGATTGTATTGCTTTTAGAAGCAGTAGGAAGCCAAATGGAAGAACAAAACATGCAAAATGTCCCACTTATAGAAATGCTTTCAATGTTTAATAAGAGACAATAACAGCAACAAATAAATAGATTCAGTCTCTGTCCTAACCTCAGTAAATATTTATCCAGTTTTAATGTAGAAAGTTTGGAGGTTTCCTCTTACCACAGATACTGTCCTGGATGTGAATGTCTGATGTCCCACACATAGTCCTTTGGGGTCATCGTTGACTTCTGGACATAGTCCCAGAAAGCGTCCTGCACCATCTTTACCTGGTGTTTGGACGGAGGGTCATGCTGTCCACCATTGCAACCTGCAGAGACAACACAGCTTAAAGCCTTGTTTTCTTCTTCCTCTGAGATTTTCACCAAAGCATCAAGATTTTCTGACCTGTGAGGAAGACGAGAACGAGGATGACCAGGATCTTCATGGCTGCCTTGATAAAGAGCCAGAGTTATCGTTTTCAGATCCGGGTTGATCCAGAGGAGAGACGCTGAGGAGCTGGAGTCCGACCTGTCCAGCCAGTCAGCCGGCTGATGGACGCTGAAGGTGTCTTCATCAGTATTTATAGGCAGCAGAGCTGAACGGAGGAGATGCTGAGCTCAGAGCTGCCACCGCCTGAAGAGGCGACATCAGGACGTCCGTCTCCATGAACGTCATGTCCACATTTCAGCTGATGTCAACCTGCTGAGGGACCAAGCTGAGAACATTCATTCAACTCTTTGTGGTTTATTCCTGACAAATACTTACTAACATCAAACATTAACATCTAACCTGAAGCCAGTTTCCAAAACAGCTTAAAATGTTTCAAAACATCTAACAGTTTTTCATAATGTGATCTGGAACAATAATACCTAAAAAA